CATGCTCTATGCATTCTTGCACCTCCCACTGACCGTCTTGACATCCCATCCATTCCTCCTCCCCACCCACCCCCCCGCTCGTCGCCACACCACAGGTGCAATCGTATGTGAAGCTGCTTAAGGAACCGAACCTGCCCACGCTGCTGCTCCAGGTGCACTTCCTTTCGCCCCTTGCTGCCATTCTTTGATGCTGCTCCCAGCTTGCTCCCTCGCTCCTGCTATCTGCCCCTCCCTCGCGCAGTCCTTGCATGCGCATCTTTCCCCTGCCCCTGTTAAGCTTTTCCCCTTGGTTGCCCGTCTCACTGCTTGCACCCGGCAGGTCATATGCTGGGTGTTGGGGGAGTATGCCACGTCAGACGGCCACATGTCAGCGGATGAAGTCATGGCGAAGCTGTGTGACGTGGCAGAGGGCCATGACACGGACGACACTGTGCGGGTGCGTGACATCCGTTCTCTATCAAACACACTGGTCTACTCTCTTATCACACCCACTTTGCTTCCTCCCTCTCTGCTACCACATGAGATCTCGTTTCTTTTTCAGTCCGAATCGATCGAAACGATCATGTGTCATGCATATGCTAGTTTTCACCCCTCTCACCCACCACTCCCTTAGGCATACGTGCTATCAGCCATGGCGAAGGTGGTGGCGTATGAGGCGGCGTGTGGGCGGCAGGCACGGCTGCCGGGGGAGGCGAGGGCGCTGGTGGAGGAGATGGTGGCGGCGCACAGCACCGACGTGCAGCACCGCGCCTACCAGCTGCAGGCGCTGCTCGCCCTCCGCCCCGACACCCTCGCTGCCGTGCTGCCTGTCGATGCTAGCTGTGAAGACATTGAGGTGTGCTGTTAGGGGCGTCCAGAGGCTGTGCGCTGTTAGCTGCTTGGATTCTTTGCTCCGGTGCTTCCTCTGCTGCCGCTTTGCATACATGTACACAGCAAGGGAATTGGATGCGTGTTTTTATTTTACATCACCTGCATGCTCATCATTTTCATCCATGCTCTTTGTCTGTCTGCCCAGATCGACCCAGCGCTGCCGTTCCTGGATGGGTACGTGGCTGACTCGCTGGCAGCCGGGGCGCGGCCCTACCTCTCCGAGTCAGACCGCCTCAACTTCTCCGTCGGTGCAGATGCCACCTCCCTCGCCTCCTCCCTGCACGACTCCTCCGCTTCTGCTGCCGCGCGCCACTCAGACCGCACGCTGCGCTTTGAAGCATACGAGCAGCCCAAGCTGCCCGCCGCGCCCCTCACTGCCTCGCAACGTGGCGGCGCCGGTGGCGGTGCCTTTTCCTCCTCTGCTGCCGCCTATTCGTCCGCCAACCCGCCCCCTGCCCTCTCCGCTACTTTGTCTGGAGGGTTCCGGGAGTCGTCTGGTGGGGGCTATGGGGGAGGGGAGGCGAGCAGCGGTGGTGGGGGAGGTGCAGCAGATGGAGCGAGGCTGAACCTCTCAGGCGTGCAACGGAAGTGGGGCCGTCCTGCTGCCCCTCCTCCTTCTGCTGCTGCCTCCTCTGCCGCTCCAGCAGGACCTTCTGCTGACTCGTTCTCGATCCGCGCTGACTCAGCTGCTTCAGCAGCAGGAGCAGGGGGTGCAGGAGCAGGTGCAGCCACAGGGAGAGGGGGGGATCGGAGAGCGGGTGAGAGCAGTCAAGTGAGCGAGGAGAAGCAGAGGCTGGCAGCGAAACTGTTCGGGGGCAAGGGAGCAGCAGGTGGGGGTGCAGCTGCTTCATCTGGTCTGGCAGGGACGAGGTCTGAGCCAAGAACGGTGGGGGCAGGAGGGCAGTGGGGAAAACGAGGGTCTGGAGCAGCAGCAGCAGAGGGCGCTGCATTAGATGGTGCTGCTTCCAGTGCTCCTGCACCCGCTCCTGCCCCCGCTGCCCCTGTGGCTGACCTGTTGCTGATGGATCTCAATGATGACCCGCCACCAGCGAACATGGCATCCATGCTTGACAGCTCAGCAGCAGCTCCTGCCAGTACAGCTGGTACTGCTTCATTGGACCCTTTCAAGGCTCTGGAGGAGCTGACAGTGATGCCAGCGGGTGAACCGCTATTGGCTGAGATGAGCACGCGTGGCGGTTCGTCTGCCAGCATGAGCGCAACAGCCACCGCTTCTCCTGCACCTGCACTCTCTGGTGCCGTTGGTGGTGCAAGTAACTCAGCAAACGGGGCAGCCATTGGTGGGGCAGTGGGCATTGGTGGGCGCACAGCAGTGGGTGCTGCAGCTGCGGCAGGTGCAACAGCCAAGGGCCGAGATGCTGCTGCTCGCAGAGTTGGAGTGGTCACTCCAGAGTCGGGCGCCAACCCTGAACTGTTCAAGGACCTCTTTTGATCAAACAACGCCAATGAAGGTTTCGAAATGGTTTGTTTTTGCCTTCGTATCATTGTAGGTTGTCAGTCGTGGAGGGTAATGTGGTTAGGCTATGTATCGAGTGACATTTCTTGCTGCTACATTGCCATTCTGGTCCTTGCACGAATCTAGCAGTAGCTGGTGGATGATGCAAAATCTACCATGAAGTTCACATTCAAAATTGGCACAATCATTCAGGTTTGTGCCTTCTGTGCACTCCCATGTTTGCTCCTCTCACAGAAGTTTGTCCTTGCCCAGGGCAATGTTGCAACTAGCCATTGTACGGCCATTGGTGGAAGCATGCTCGACACTCTGGTTGAAAAAGGACATCAGATCAACAAAAACAAAAGTGAAGGGGTGATCCGAGAATTGAATTCGGGACCTCTCGCACCCTAAGCGAGAATCATGCCACTAGACCAAACACCCACGCCCTCAAGCTTTCATGTAATAAACCAGATACATTTCATGCAACAAGCCAGTGCAGTTTCTCTTATGTCCAGGCTTCTCGATTGACTCGCGTGAAGGTAACGTCAGAGCAGACAACAACTGGTTGCGAGGACTTCCGGTCACCATAGGACGAGTGATTTGTGTTGAAGGCGGTGAAACAGCAGGCCCTTCGTCAAGATTCTCCTTTTGGTTGCTTCGTGTGGTTAGGACGCAGTTGGTTTTATTATACTCACCTTATCACCCTGCTAAACTTCGTTATTGCCCGTTCTTGCATCTACGTATTTCCTAATTCGACAACTAAATCAAGGAGAAATGATCAAGAACAGAGACTAGCAACGGATGAGTCTCAGGATGTGGAGGAACAAGTACGACTATGATGGAGGGAGGGAGGGAGGACGGATTGAGGGAGGGAGGACGGATTGAGGGAGGGAGGGAGCAAAGAAGGAACGGAAGGAGGTGAGATTGTCACCAAGGCGACCACGTCGCGGTGGAGTGGAGGGCCCGTGCTTCGAGATCCTCGCGTAACATGTGAGGAGGTCCAGCGTGGCTGCCCTGTCAGCGAAGTAGCTGCCTGCCTATCCTCAGATCAACGTTTGCGAATGGTATCTGGGCGTTTTGAATCCAAGATGGATGGAAGGATTGCTATTGGTTGTAAACGGAGTCCCTTTCACATGAATGGTTGTGCGCCTGTCCAGCATGCGTTCTGTGCTGACGAAACAGATCTTCAACGTGAGGCTTCTCGATGTTCCAGTAGCAAAATGTTTTCAGTTATGGGCAGCCTGCAAACCGCCAGACCACTGATTCGTCGGAGAATATTTGTATTCCTGACCATCCACGCCTAAAATCGATGTAACATGTCCCGGAAACAAATTCTTCGTGTCGCAACACAACCTCGATATTTTCCGCACACCACAATCCGTTATTCTCCCAACTTTGAGGAGTCCAACACTCGAGTGTGCTCTGCTGTGCTCCCTCTAACCCCCTCCCCTCCGCCGCGCCCGTCTTCCATCACCATCTCATGGCGTCCCTCGACTCTCCTGATCGTTTGGATCTATTCCCAAGGGCCGTGGTAAACTAGCTTCAGTTCAGGCAATCATTAGGGAGGAATATCTTCCCCAAAAAAATATATAACTGCTTCAGTATTTGGTCTGATCGGCCTGACGAAACAGCAACTGCTCACTTAGGGTTGTTCCGTGGTACCTGTGTACGTCGAAGTTAGAATTTTAAGACCTTGGATGCTAGGAACGATGGGTGTTTGTTTGGTGCTGTAGACTGACTGCACAGCCAAGCTCAATGGCTGCACTTACTAACAGTACTTCGTTGATTGACAAAACGGTCGTAGGATCTGATAAGCTGTCCAACCTTCCCAGATCAGCCAGCTCTCGAGATAGAGCTCAGCAAAGGTTTCGCCCCGATACGCTAGTGTCAATTAATGGAGGCGATAAGCGTGGATCCAGATTCAGCAAAAACCTTACAGTGAAGGCCAGCTTCTCTGGGTCTCGATCCTCGCAAAGGTAAGTGTGGGCCCTGGTTCTTGTCCGTTCGAGCCAATGGTCATGCAATAGCTCTCATGGGTCCGGTTTCCCGTGACAACTAAGCCCGCATTCGCGCATGAACCACAGGTGGCAGAAAGGCGGAGCGCAGTCAGACAACGAACACTCGAAGCATTTCCTTCGCCAGTGTGCACCCAATCCCCGAGACGTCCCCCCACGTAGAGGTCAGTTCCACAGCACCTCGTAAAGTTCTCTGCTTACATCCACCTTCGGGATGCGTCGTTCGTTTCATGCACATTCGCGACTAGCACGTTTTTCGATATGAACTGTTCCATGATCTGCGTGCTGTGCAGCTGCGCCGCCTGCTGGCGGCTGGCGGGAAGACACTGGAATAGCCAGTGAAAAGGACTGGGGCATAGATCTGAAGAGCCAACCAGTGAACGAATGCGGCATAAACGAGGATGGCAGCACGTGGTACAGAGAGAGCGGAGAGGACATGGGGGACAATGGCTATCGGTGCCGATGGACCATCATGGGTGGACGACACCCCAACGGGGCGTCCGAATGGAAAGAAACTGTAAGCTTGCAGATCGCATCACCTTTCACTTGAATCTCTTCTTGGGGCACGTGTTGTCAAGGTTCAAGCCTTTGCAGTCTCCTACGATGTTAAAGCGCTGCCGATATCATCTCAAGTTCTTGCTCGCGTCTTACCATTTCTTCCAATGCTTGTTTTTCCCATTTCCTTTATCGCCGTGGGACGGGATTGCTGCGGGGCGCAGTGGTGGGAGAAGAGCGATTGGACGGGGTACAAGGAGCTGGGCGCGGAGAAGTCGGGCAGAAACGATCAAGGAGATAGCTGGTGGGAGACGTGGCAAGAAGTATACGTTGTGGATAACTGGAGGTAATTTGCCGCGCGCTCTGGGTGCACAACGCTACCTGGTTCGGTGCAGATTCCACCACCCACCCACAGTTGCCGTTTCGTTGTCGCCGTTTCATCATTGCCGTCCTTGTTTACTCTCCAGTCTCTTCACGACAGCCTCCGGGCCCTCATTCGATCACCCCTCGCTCTTCTCGCCTGTGTGCTCTCCCCTGATGAATTGGCGCCTCTGCAGCGGCATTCCGAGAATAGAAAGAAGCGCGCATAAACAAGCCAAATCAAGACAAGAAAACGTCTGGAATGAAAAATGGTGAGTCGTGATCCTTTCGTAGTCTCCGAGGGCGATGTTGTATCGAAGCGTAAGATTGCCCTGTCGTTTTACGCAACAAACCAGGACTATTCCGCTTTTCCCCGCGTGCAATGCGTATCACGTGCTGCACAGTCCGCTCATTCCCCTCGTCATCGTTTGCTGTGGCGCCCCCCTGGGTGGCAGGTGGGAGAAGTACAACGGCAAGGGGTGGACGGAGAAAGGGTCGCACAAGTACGGGCGGTCCAACGACCAGTCGTGGTGGGAGAAGTGGGGCGAGCAGTACGACGGCCAGGGCATGGTGCTCAAATGGTGAGACCCTCCTGCTCCCGCGGTGAGACCCTCGTGCCCGCCCACTCACGAATGTTAGAAGTTCTTGCAAGTACACGAGTGCAGGGAGCTCCTTCCGCGAATCCGCAGAGTATGATCCTTGTTAACAAGCGTAGGGAGGCAACTGAACTGGCACACAAAGGAAACAAATACTAGATTGCATGAGCACCGTCAAGGAAGGGAGAGCCAGTAAGCCAGTAGGGTAGGATGCTTATTAACTAGATCAATGTTACCTAAGGTGCGTTCGGCCCGGCCATAAGCAGGACGTTACACGCCTTTGGCTTATCCAGGGCTCCCCCTCTCGTCCACCCGCCGCTCTCTTTCCCTCCCTTCCCTGCTCCCACCCTCTCTTCCCCGCCTCCCTCTCTTATGCTCCTTCTCCTGGCCCGTTCCACGACCTATACACTCTCCTTCTCTCTCGCACCATGCTTGCATCTCATTCTCTCTACCACGCTTGCACCATCGGTACCGACCACTTCTCACGTCCACACTATGCTTGGTGTTCTTGCACCCCTTCCTTGCACGCGTGGCACTTGCGTCCCGCGACTAGCATGCGTGTTGGCATGAGCATGACCACTTCCATCCACACACCCTGTGCCCTCGTGTGCATGCGCCTAACGACCGTGCTGTACCTCGCTGTGCTGCACTGCACCACATGCAGGACGGACAAGTGGGCGGAGAAGGACGACGGCACCAAGTGGGGCGACAAGTGGGAGGAGCGGTTCACGTCGGGGGTGGGGCACAGACAAGGGGAGACCTGGCACGTCGAGAACTCAGGCTCCCGTAAGTGCATGCCCGCTTGCTCGGGGTCTTTAGCCGCTTAGTGGTCGTGTGGACCTGCTGCCGATTGGCCCCCTTGCTCATTGCAATATATGTGGAGAGTTTGACGATGCATCCTCAAGGACACAGTGCGAGCTTCTATTGATGATGGTGGGGATGATGTAAATGAGTTGTCACACAATGCAGCTCTCCAGAGAGCACACTACCAGCTGTAGTCACATCCCCGCACGTAACTCACAAGTTCCCTTTCCCTTGTCACGGTGTTTTGTGTGGCTGTGCAGGCTGGTCGAGAACATGGGGCGAGGAGCACTTCGGGGATGGGTAAGTGTGCATCTCATTCAGTCTAGTATGTGCACTTCATGTGCTCATGCGCTCATGTGGCAGTGACATATTATGTTTGGTCCCACCCGAAACTCACGTGTTCCTCTCCCCAATGCGTGCTGCTGGCTGCAGGATGGTGCACAAGTACGGGAGGAGCACGAGCGGTGAACAGTGGGATGTGGTGGTGGCTGAGCCAACATACTATGAGTAAGCACGTCCTTCCATCACCTCATATGCACCTATGCATAGCACACCATCATGTGCACACGTGCAGATGTCTCATTGTGGATGTGTGATGCTGTGGCACTGGCTCGTCTTTGTCTGTGCTCTCATTGAGACCCTGTGCTTGGATGTGATGGGGTGCTGTTTATGGCAGGGGGAAGCCACACTACGGCTGGGATGAAGCTGTGGCCAACTCCTCACAACTGCTATCCATTGAGATCAGGGACCGCACAGAACCCAGCGCATTCGGGGAATACGGGCGATCACAAGGCATAAACCCAGCAGTTCAAGACGATTACCCTCACAATGGCAGACCACCCATGTATGACAGTTCCTCGTGAAGGTTCAGTTTAGACCGGTTTGCGAATACAGTACCCTATGGTTAATCAGGTATCCTCCATTGCTCGAGTTTACGGAATGCAGTGGAGTCCAGGTTTAGTTCTCATCTTGAGCCAGCAATACACTGTCATGGCGATTCTTGGAAATGTTTTTATTATTGGAGAATAACAGATTAGGAATCATCTGGCATCCTTGTATACAAGCTACAGTTAAAGGACAGTGAATTATATAGTGTCCACTGTACACGAACGAGTCCTGGTGGTTGAGCCATACCGTATCGTGTAAGCGGGGAACCCTCAATGCGATGACTGCGTGGTTTCATTTTGTTTCCCCCAGCAATTTGACCTGCTTGTGTGGGCTTCAAGCAAACTCAACTCAACAGCAGCATCAGGCTTGGTTGTGTGCGGAACAGAGGCCTTCCGTCGCTGCTGACAGCGATGTCCTCTTTATCGTAGGACTGAAACCATGTTCCGAGGCTGCCACGTGGTGATTGGCTGCAGAATACGCATCGGCCTCTGCTATACTTGGAGGCGACCTTGGGGTTGCTACTGAGCACAGCGGTCGCCGTACCAGCTACAGAGAGGATATGTGGAACCGCTCTTATGCCCTTCAGTTGCCAAACGCAGATGCTGGTCATTGCTACATGAACTGAAATAAAGTTCTGGGTCTTGAACTTGGTTCTCCTACTTCGTTTTTCGCATCGAACTATTGCCTGCTCGATTGATTCAAGCTCCAAGTTTCTCGGTCTGAGTCCAATTTCGCATCGTAGGGTATATCTAATGGCTCCGAGACGAGGCACAGAGCATCTAGGAGCTGTACCAGTGAGAACGATCCGGCAATTGTCATGTCACTTCCAGATCCTTCTACTCTGTGTGGTTCTCCTGTCAAGCTGTGTGCATGAGCATGCTACTGTTAGCGGAGATTCCGTTCCAGATGGTGCCGTCAGAGCAGCAAGAGATGCCATCCAGGCACAGCTTGACCGCCTCAGCCTGTCCCTCCAGCACCACTCCCCCGTGCCAACCTGCATGTTCGCTGCTGACCTCACCATCATGCCACCCAACACTGCCACGTGGAATCTGAACTCCACTCAAGCGCGAGCCAAGCTGATTAAGTACCTGAAGCATTGTGAATTTAGAATTTACTTCTCAATCTCAAAGCTACTGGTGGGTGTGGCTACCGTGGGGGAGATGTTCCATGAAAAGGAACAGGTGAGTGATCAGCAGCATGAGAAACAGCACAACAAGAGGCGGCACGTTGCGGTATCGCTTGTACGGTATGCAGCCATGTTCATAGATTCACAAGGACGACAGAGACAAACGAGCATACAGGGTTCTGCCTTGGCTCTCTGGCTGAAAGTCCCGGCATGCCGTAAAGATGCGTACAAGAGGGATTGGAAAGGGAATGTGATGCATGACAAGTGCACTGAAGCAGATGACCTGAGGGACGCACATGGCTCATGGCAAGTTGCGCTGGGGGGTTGGACAGCCTACGGTGGTGGTAATAATGCACTGGAATCTCACATCACAAGCAGAACCACTCACGCTGAACGGAGCAGTGCCATGCAACCTGCATGGAACACAGTGCTGCTGAAAACAGGCTTCTCAGGTGTGTCAAATGGCAAGGACCAGCCTCGCCCACCCGCAGCCTCAGGAGTGAAGGAGGTCATTGAGCATGCCCTGCCGCTGTTAGGTGACGCCCTGGCTGCTGGGGACAGTGCCAGTGCTGCAAGGCTCTTCTCCCCGCGTGCCACCATCATGCCGCCTGATCAGCCCGAACGGCAGTTCCAGTTCTCGTTCCAGCTCCAGCAGTACCTCCAGGTGAGCCCCGTCCACTGCTGCGTGCTTCCCAGTCGCTCCTACCCCCCGTTGTGCCTCCGCTGACGTGGCCTGTGACAATGGGCAGCCGCTGGCATCACTTCATCTCCGATTCAGCTTCCACATTGAGGAAGTTGTGAAGATTTTCACACCCAAGGACACGCTTGGTGCGGAAGCAGCCGTGGATGCACTTAGTGACGCAGCCACCCAGGCAGACAAGGCTCTGAGCAGAGGCCAGTTCACAGCGACGAACACTTCAGGTACGGCAATGCTCTGCTGCTTTTTTATTTACCAAGTGCATGCGCGCTGATCACGCTCGTCTGGCACTGCATGGGTGCAGGGAGCGTGGTGCAGAGCGGCAAGTTTATCGCACTGTGGGAGGTGGGCCCTGCAGGCAAGCCCTCATGTGGTGTGGCATCTGGAGCGAGTGGGGAGGAGTGCAGTGGGAGGAGCGAGGGACGAAGGGCGCTGGTGGAGGAAGCCGTGAGCTGCACTGGTGGGTGCCAGGACATTCTGCATAAACGACCGTCTGTGCCTGGTGCACGCATATCCTGGCTTATGTGGACCCGCAACGCCCCCCCTCCTGCTCCACTTCCCCCTCCGCCTACCCCTCCCCCTCCCACTCCACCAGCTCCAACCCCTCCTCCATCCCCCCCTCCCTCTTCCCCTCCTCCATCCCCCCCTCCCTCTTCCCCTCCTCCATCCCCCCCTCCCTCTTCCCCTCCTCCATCCCCTCCCTCTTCCCCTCCTCCATCCCCCCCCTCCTCCCCTCCTCCATCCCCTCCCTCTTCCCCTCCTCCATCCCCTCCCTCTTCCCCTCCTCCATCCCCTCCCTCTTCCCCTCCTCCATCCCCTCCCTCTTCCCCTCCTCCATCCCCTCCCTCTTCCCCTCCTCCCTCCCCTCCCTCTTCCCCTCCTCCCTCCCCTCCCTCCTCCCCTCCTCCATCCCCTCCCTCTTCCCCTCCTCCATCCCCTCCCTCTTCCCCTCCTCCATCCCCTCCCTCCTCCCCTCCTCCATCCCCTCCCTCCTCCCCTCCTCCATCCCCTCCCTCCTCCCCTCCTCCATCCCCTCCCTCTTCCCCTCCTCCCCCCCCATCCCCACCGTCTCCTTCTCCTCATCCTCCCCCTCATCCTCCTCCTCATCCTCCTCCTCATCCTCCTCCTCCTCCTCTGCTGCCTCCCAGTCCTCCTCCTCCCTCCCCTCCACCACCAAGTCACCCTCCCTCTCCCCATCCTTCTCCCCCTCACCCCCCTCCTCCCCATCATCCCCCTTCACATCCCCCTCCTCCGCCTCCCCAGCCTCCTCAGCCGCACCCCCTCCCCCTCCCTCTCGACCCCCTCCTTCTCCCCTTCCTCCCCCTCCTCCCCGTCATCCTTCCCCTCATCCTCCACCTTCACCCCATAATCCCCCCCCTCCACCACCCCCACCTCCTACACCCCCGTTCCCGCCCTCTAAGCCACCGGCGTCGCCACCACCACCTCATCCATCGCCCTCCCCACCACCACCACCACACCGCTCCCCTCCCCCCCGACCTCCTCCCCAGCCTCGCCCCCCGCCCCCACAGCCAGCCCCAGCCCCACCTCCTCCTCCCCTTTCACCCACAGCACCACCCCCCCCTCCGCCTGCACGCAGCAGCAGGTTGGCAGCGCTGCTGAGGGCGAGGCAGCACGTAGTGCACCGCCATGCCGCACTCGGACTGCCCTCCCTTGCATTGCTGCTCTACCGCCTGCTGCCCTCCCTGTGTCATGCCCCACAGGGCGGCACACAGCTGTTCTCCTCGAGCAGCGACAAGCACAGCTCTTCTGCCAGCCCCCATGCATCGCATTAGTGTAGCACTATTGAATGTGTGTAAGGGTGTTAAATGTGTCTGTGCTGTGGTGATATCTGATGCACTGATACATAGATGGACAATCGTGCTTGTAAGGTAATTGATACACGTTAGGTTACAATGGATGAGTCCCGCACAACATGCAAGCCGGCCCTTGCTGACCCGTTTGACAGGAGCACATGGTGGTGGTGTGGTGGACAACCCCAAACTGAACCCATGCTTCCATCCCCTAAGCAGCTATGTACTCTTGCTGAACGATGGCTGGGGGTGCTTGTGGAGGGCGTGATTCAGAAAGCAACTACGATTCATCAGCAGCTCATGGTCTCTTGCTGATGCGCGTCTCGGTTGATATCGTGATGTGCTGCAAGCAAGTGGAAGGGGGGAGGTATGGGGGAGTACGGTATAAGAACCATGGAGAGCATCTCGTGCAGGCAGTAAGAAGGAAATGTATGCAAGTGCGAGTGGGGCGTGCAGCAAGTACCTCGAGCTGACCCAGGGCGGAGTAGTCAAAGCGAGAGACAATGGCCTTGTCAGCCTCCACGAGCCACCCCGCCTTCAGAATCACCCCGCCACTGGGCGTTGGCAGCACCCTCGACCACACGCCCTGCCATGGGGACGACGCACGGGCGATGGTAAAGCACAGCATTGATTGGAATCAGAGGGCAGGTGGGTGCAGCATCACACGCAATGCTGGCTGCAGCATGTGCTGTGAAGCTGACGTCAGATCAAGTCGCCCACTCACCGATACCTCCATTGCAGTTTGTTGTACACGCGCTTCTCTTACCTGAGGAAGCAGCACGGAACCTTCGTCTGTGAGCTCCCTGGTGACCTCCTCTGTGCCGGCCGGCTTGAGCTCCACCACCGCCCCCCGCCGCCCGTACTCGTCGCCCTGCTCGGGGGGGAGGAGGTGGGGGGTGGGAGGGGAGGGGGAAGGGTCATGAGGGCCGGCAGAGTGAAGCGCAACGCTAATCGTGGTCGGCCGGATGGGTTTGCCTTGCCCTCCTCGGAGCTCCGTGGAAGGGAGGTTATGACGAGACCGCATAGCTATGCGGAGGGAAGGGCAGTCAGAGGGGATGGCAGGGGGTGGATGGGAGGCAGTGCGATGGACGGACGAGATTCATTGTGTCCCACATGAAATGTATGTCAAGCATATCTCTCGTTCACGGATCGCCCGTTCCATAAATTGTGTTCTTTCTTCTTTACCACTCTCGCCTTACTGCCCATCGGCTCTGCTCCGCACATCCCCCCACTTTCCTACCCCCCTCACACACACCATCTGCGCCATGCAGCGCGCCGAGCTCACCAGTTTGAGGTCGGCGCGCATGGCGGCGGCGAGCCAGCGCCCCTCCACGGCCTCGATGCCCACGGGCGGGCCCTCCGCGAACTCCGACGACTCGTTCGCGCCGTCGGGCTCGGCGCGCCACTGGCCCACCCACCGCTCGCGGAACAGCGTCATGCCCAGCAGCTGCGGCAGGTGCCCCTCGTCCCCCACCCCGCCCGCCGCCCCCGCGCCCTTCTGAAAACGCTGCACCACGCGCACGCGCACGCGCTCGGGCTTGCCGTCGGTCTGCGCGTCCGGGTTTTCCGCGACGAGGCAGTGCTCCAACTCGAAGAACTGCGACGCGTCGCCGCTGCCGCTGCCCTGCCGAACCACTACGTGAACCGCGTTCACGCCAGGCTCGGAAGAAGGCTCGGAAACGGATTTCCCGGGCCAGGCGACGGCGTAGCAGCCGTCGTCGCGGAAGCCCAGCACGCCCGCCGCGTCCTGCCCGATCCCCGCCGCGCGCCGATCCACGCTGTAGCGCGACGCCGCGCCGCCGCCGCCGCCAAAGCCAAGCGACGGCAGGAAGCGCTCGGAGACGGTTTGGACTTCCCCGGTAGAAGCATCCGCGTTAGTGGAGCTGTGCGCTTGCCACGCGAAGAGCGCGAGGCCCCAGTCGCAAAAGGGCGGCGGAATGGCCTCCCTCGGGATCTCCGTCTCTATCCCGTCGGGGCAGAAGTCCGATGAGTACCCCGCCCATTCCCCGGTGATTGCGGCGGAAAACGCGGACCAGGTCTGCGGCAATTGCGCAGCTTCGACGGTCTGCACGGATGCCCTGGGCGCGGCGGGCGCGTGGCGGTGCTGGTTCACACGCGCGGATGGTCGGTGCGCGGAGAGGTGAAGGCGGTGTCGACGGGAGGAGGGCACGAAGGCCGCGGAGGAGGAGAGGCGGTCCGCGAGAAGTGCGGGCTTACTGTGGGTGGCGGAGGGCGAGCAGCGCGGTGCGATGGAGGCCGACAGGCCGCTGCGGAGCAGTAGAGAAGCCGCCATCGCCTACAGCGAGCTCGACTGCCGTTGCAAAGAAGCTATTGCTCGCTGCAGATGATCGAGAACTGAGACACGAGGTATGGGACTGAAAATCGAGATGTGCAGCACAAAATGAGTGAGTGTGAAGGATTTGAACATGTGCTGATGTGATCTTCAGCAATGCGACATTCTCAAGGTGGAAGGTGAATGCACTGCGCGAAACTGCGGCTCCAGATTGCGCGGGAATCATAAGAATGATGAGGGCATCCTATGTGGCATACTCTGTATGGCTTCACTGACGAGGCATACACTCACAGGCTGATGTACTCGTTAAAGGATGGCCAGTCCCCTTGTGAAAGTGTACACTAAGGTCTTTACGCGTAGCATAAGCTGCACTGAAATATTGCACCCCTCATGACCATTCATAAAGTTTAACATAACGAGTCTGAACAAATACGACAAATAAGTGGAACCATGGCCGCAAGCATGTGCGCACATGGCTTCATATGGTGAACATCTGAGCGGGCCATGCCTTCTTGCCCCCATCAGCGCCCACCGCCACCACCTCCACTGAAATGTCAATGCTGCGGTGCTTGCTGGCGCGCACCACACTCACCCTCCCCCTCACCTCCACCGCCGGCCTACCCTCCGACCCCACCGCTCCTGTTCCCGGTGGTGGGGTTTCTCCGATCAGCACTGCAGCCGTGGACTGTGCTGCAGGTGCGAGAGCAATGGGTTCGCGGAAGGTGAGGAGGGTTTGGGCCCAGTGGGTGGGCGTGCAGAAGGGCGAGGTGGAGAGCAGCACTGGCTTGGCGGAGCAGAATCGGGCGGAGAAGGCCGTGTCGAACCACAGCGCCAGCCCGTAGCACAGCGCGGGGGAGGCGGAGGCAGGGGATGCTGGAGTTGCAGCGGCAGGGCTGTCAGCGGGAGTTGGCCCGGCAGCAGAGGTGGGGAGGGCTGGTGTGATGCAGAATTCAGAGGTGAAGTCGAGGTCCGGCACTGCCACGGTGCACAGGTCAAAGTGCTGCCACGCACGGGCGGGAAGGACGGGGGAGGTAGATGGGGGGAAACGTAAGGGATGGGAGGAGAGGATGAGGTTCAGGGGAGAAGAGGCAGGGGGGACGGCAGAGGGAGGTGAAGGACGAGAGATACAAGGGGTGACCTGGGAGAAGAGTCACACGCATGGCGTGCATGAGGGCGCACCTTGATGGTGGCGGTGGACGTGACTATATCGCACCTTGATGGTGGCGGTGGACGTGACTACATCGCACCTTGATGGTGGCGGTGGACGTGACTATATCGCACGCCTTCACCTCCTGTACCAGCGGCGTGCGAGCCGCCTCGTCCTCTATCTCGCGTGCCACGGAGGCCATGCTGAAGCCGTACACGTCCCTCCAAAACCCCACACTCGTTGCTCCCTCTCCAAACCCCGCCACGTGCTGGTGGCGGGGGAGCGAAGCAGGCAGAATGAGGGGACGGGGGAGAGACAGCATGGAAAAGAGGAGAATGAGATGGAGGCAAGGAGAGGACTCAAGATGAGATTTCTGATGTGGGAACGCACAATGCGGCACTGGTGCTTGCCATGCATGGTGCAGGGCCATGCACGGATGCTCGTCTCACCATGGAGGCGGTGTCGGGCAGCAGGGCGCCGCCCGGTTTGAGCCAGGTGTCACGGGCGTGCAGCACGGAGGGCAGCATGGACTCGTACAGCAGCGCGTACCCCATCCACTCGCTCACTATCACATCCACACTCCCCCGCTCCAACGCCACCTCCCCTGCTCCTCCCCCTCCTCCCGCCCCCTCGCCGCTAGCGCCCGCCTGCGCGTGTGCGTCAGTGGTCCCGGTGGGGGCGGGGGAGAGGTCCTCGATCTTGCCGCACACGAAGGACACCACGGGGCGTGGGGGGCGCTGAGGCGCGCTGGCAGAGGTGCTGCTGGGGGCAGGGGGGGCGGACTGGGCGCCCGCGAGATAGCCGTTGTCGCGCGCTATCTGGTGGCGGATAGAAGGGGTAGAGAGGAGAATGCGAGCGGTGAGGAGAAGTGACGATCGGCAAGAGATGTGAGGGAGTGAGAGAACCATGGGGGACAGTAGAGGTGTGACTCAGAATGGCATACAGGGAGATGCACGGCCATGTGCAGTAGACACATGCAGCATGCACCCCCTGTGCCTCCATCACCTCACTCGGCCTGCCTTGCCATCCTGTGAACCCAGGCAGCCCCACCCCAAATGCTGCGCCGCCCACCTGCTGAGCCACCGCGAGAATCTCTCGACTGCCATCCACCGCCACCACCCTCGCTGCTCCCCCGCGCGCCGCAAACAGACTGCCCAGCACAGGAGGGATGAGGGGAATGGGCGGTAAGCCGGGAAGGGAGTGGGAGCTGAAGTGGCGCGTGCAGGCATACCTTGTCAAGCAAGGAGGCAAGAGCACCCATACGTGGATGCGCGTGTGGGTGAGTGGCTAGCACAGCTGAGGATCACATGGGCAGCCAGCCATCCCCACAGCTCCACACACCTCAGAATGCCCACCTGAGAATTCTCACCTGAGAATACCCACCTGAGGATTCCCAACCGAGAATGCCCACCTGAGACTGCTCGCCTGAAAATGCTCACCTGAGAATGCCTGTGCCACAGCCCACATCCAGCACTGTTGCTCCCTCAATCAGGCTCGGGTTCTCCTCCAAAGCTGCCTGGTAGGCTGTGGTCCGAGCCTGCAAGGCAGGCATGGTCATGGGAAGCTCGGTAAGGATTTAGAGAGACGTTCGGATGTGAAGAGAGTGGGGCATGAAGGCATGCGGCCGCACAGCAGCACGCATGCATTTACTTGCCTTCGCACATCGCCTGCGCCCCCTCATCACTCTCACAGCGCCAACTAGCTATTCCATGTACCTCACTTTGTACCCGGCCTGCCTCCTACCACAGAGCCCGTGTGCACAGGCAAGGGAGCGGGGCGGACCTGATCGGAGAGCATTTCGCGGTGGATGCCGAAGCCGGCGTAGGAGCTGAAGTAGTTGGCGTCAATCACGCGCACCTGCCTCTCCCGCACCGCCCCAAACGTCACCTGCCGCCGCTTCCTCGCCGCCTGCCCCTCCTCCCCATCCCCTTCCCCCTTCCCACCCGCACCAGCAACAGCAGGTGCTGCAGGTGGAGCCGCGGCGGCCTCCCCATCCATGGCGCCATCCACCGTCTCAGCAACGGCTGCCAGCTTCCTCTGGGCCTCATCCAGGGGCAGCAGGGCGTAGCTGGGGGAGGGCGAGGCGAGCGGCGTGGAGAAAGGCGTCCGAGGGACTACCGGGCTGGCCGTTCCCGAACCTCCTCCTTCCAACCCTAGCCCTGCCGTGCCTTCTCCTCCTGCCAAACCTGCCTTTGCAGCCACCACACCCACTGCTTTCTCAGCACCAAGGGCGCCAGTGGAGGCTGGGCGGGGGGATACGGGAATGGGAGGTCGGCCCTGCTTGTGCTGCAGCTGCTCGCCGTGCCTCACCTGCAGCAGCATGTCTTTCACCGACCCCTCGTGCATCCCACTGCCCACCCCCGACTCACCCACGCCTGCAGCTGCAGCGGCAGCAGCGGCGGCGGTGGCAAGGGAGGCGTAGCTGGGGCAGGGGGAGACCAGCGGCGTGGAGAAGGGCGTGCGCGGCGCTCCCATGCTCTGCGCCTGCCACGCTGCTGCAGCAGCGGATGGAGCAGCAGGCCCTGCACCCGCGCCTGCTGCAGCACCATCAGCGGTGGCAGCTTCAGCGGTGTTGCTGGCGCCTGAGGCTTGTGCTGCAGCAGAGGCAATGGCGGCAGCGGCAGTGGCGGTGGCGACAAGGGAGGCGGTACTGGGGGAGGGCGAGACCATGGGCGTGGAGAAGGGCGTGCGTGGGGCAGCCGTGCCTGCACCGCCGGCAGTGGCACTGAAAGGGACTTCTGGAGCCCTTCCTGCTGACGTGGCAGCCAGCTGGTGTGCCAGCTGTGCGTTCTGTTGTCGCAGCAGCAGCACCTGATTGGCCAGCGTCACGTACTGCTCCAGAGAGGGCGCCACGTCCTCCCCGTCCGCAACCTCCCACCCCTCCATCTCCCCCCTTGCTCCTGCAACTTCTCCCACCTTCTCCTTGCCCTTGCCAACAGAACCACCTGAAGTTCCACCTGAAGGTATACCTGAGCTGCCTACTCCCCCTCCCACCCCCCCTGTGCGGGCTGCCTGCACTCCCGCACCTCCGCTCCCACTGCTCTCCGCCCCTGCACCTTCCCCCTCCGCCTGCTCCCCCCCCGTACCCTCCCCCTGCGCCAGGGAGAGCAGCTCCTGGAAGGCCAGAGCGCGCTCCTCCTCGCTGCCCCCAACGTTTCCCCCCTCTGCTGCTGCTGCCGCCGCCGCCCCTGCCGCCGCGGCAGTGAGTGGTAACCCGGTAACGTCCACCACGGCACTGGCCTCGCGTGCACCCCCAGCGGCAGCAGCATCAGCGCTGCCGTCCTTGGCGCCCCCCTCGCTGACTTCAGCATCATCGTCGTCATCCAAGCTGTACAGCACAGGGTCGCCTTCCAGGAAGCTTCTGAGGTACGCGTCGTCTCCCCAGGGTGGCGGGGCGGAGGGCTCGGGAGGGGTGGTGAGCGGGAGAGGAGGGAGGAGAAAGTGCTGCGAAGCTTCCATGTGTTGAACGAGGTCAGGTGGGGAGGGGAAGGACTGTAGGCAGTGGATGCAGCGATGGGCCGCCACCTGGGGGCGCGGGGGAGGGGTTGGGGGGAGAGGAAGGGCGCAGGAAGAGAGTCCACTTGTCGCTTCACACTCGCATTGAAAGGTGCTGTTGTGACGCTGGGGGAAACGAGTGACACGCGTGAGAAGATGATACCTGGGTCTCTACACTCGAATGATGCTTGAAGGCTCAGCAACTCACGTGGGTACGGATGAAGTTGACAGCGCGGATGCACTGATACTCGTCCCACTTCTGCGCTGCTCGCAATCGCTTCAAGTCGAACCCACCATGCTCCGCGCGGCAGTGCTGCAGCATGCCCGCCACGTTGGACAGCTGCACGGGATTGCAGTGCAGGCAGAGGGAGCAACACGTCAACCACAACTGGAACGACTTCTCAACAACGGTTGCTCACCACTAAATAATACTCTCAAATCCTTCACATAATCAACGCCAGCGGCCCCTGAACCCCCCATATCCCCTTAACCCTCCACCTTCCTGTCCCCTGCTTCCACTGCTTTCCTCCCCGCCTTCCCCAACCCCGCTCGCTGCAGCGTCGTGGCGTGGCGCTGGTTAAGCATGTCAATTCGGTGTGGCCCGTCCGAGAGCACTCGCCTGGCGGGGGCAGAAGAAGCAGAGCGCGGGGTCGTCCGCCTCCTCCTCGTCCTCCTGCCACTCCTCCCACTCCCCCACCTCCTCCGCCTCCTCCGCCTCCTCCATCGCAATGTCTTCCGCGCTCAGCTCCATCCGCGCGCGCGGACAACAGGAGAACAAGCGGAGATTTACACGAAGCGGAAAGCTTAAATGATGTGCCGGGACGTAATTGCCAACAAGCTCCCTTCTATTAAGTCCCTACACGGTAGACATAAACTTTAAATAGACACAGACGAGAATATTCAACCCAGCCTTGAAGCTCACACCCCGCGATTTGGTGGTTCGTGGCAAGAATGATAGGCAAGGGTCAATCCAAGAATTGTGCTCGACAATCCCAAGGAAACCCTTTTCGTGACTTCCTCGCTAGGGAATCCCAACGCGTTGGATTTCACGTAGATGATTTCTTTGGGGAACCAACATTGTGCCAAGTTAAAAAACAACACAGCATTGTTTGCTACTTTTCCCCATTGTACAACCTCCCTATATTTGGTTTCCTTGCACGTGTATAAGAACGATTTTTTCCTACATGGTACGTTTTCAATTTTTAGGCATGCAGGCTCTCTGCTGGTAATCCAGGTGGGTGGGCACATCAATGCAGTGAGAGCTGGTCCAGCATGGCTTGCATGAACTGCGGGTACACCCTGGACAGCGATGGCAGCACGTGTGACGGCGCTGACAGCAGGCTGCCCCACGGCCGCCCCTCCACCGCCTCCATCTCCCCTTGCCCCCTCCCTTCACCCGCCGCTCTGCCCTTCTCCGACAAACCCCCTGCCGCTGCTGCCACGGCCGCTGCGGTGGTTGCTGCTCCATAGATGCTTTCAAAGGCCGAAAGAGCTGCCACAGGCAAGAGAAATGAAGAGAATGGAAGCCAGCAAGTCAATGAATTTGGAGAAGGCAAGATGACAGCAGGGGCAATAGACATTCTTGAGGAGGGGTTGATGAGTAGAGTGGATGGACAGAGGGAGGGAGGGGTGGGGCCAGGGGCAGCTTTCTCACTCACCTTGACCGTCCGCCATGCCAGCAGCAGCACCATTCGACAGCTCCACGTCCCGACCCGCTGCATCTGGCGCAGGCCGGCTCTCCTCCCCATTCAGCACCGCATACTCCCTGCCACCGCTCACCACCACGATGGACCACTGCGCTGTCCCTTCCTTGCTGCTGCTGCTGCTGCTGCCGGCAGGTGCGGAGGAGGGTGGCAGGAAGGCGACAGTGGCGCCAGTGACATCAGCCATCTCCCACGCTGCGATGGGCACAGGGCTCTCCCCGCCCTCAAACACCAGCACTGCCCCCTTCACCGCCCCGCCTTCGCCTGCACTCCTCCTCGCCCACCCACTCCTCCCAACACTACCTTCCTTCGGTCCCACCTCCTCCCCGTGCTCTTCCTCCTCACCCTCCCCCACTTCCTCGTCCTTCTCCACGCCACCGCCCTGCCCTGTGTCGCCGCCCCTCCCACCACCGCCACCAGTGGTGGGAGCAGCAACGATGACGGCGAAGAGCGGTGCAGAGGGGTGGGTGGCGAGGGAGAGCACACGGAGGTGGAGGCACCAGGCGAGGGAGAGAGAGAGCAGGCTCCACACCGACAGAGCCGCGTAGGGGGCAGCGGTTGAGCCTGGCGGCGTAAAGTAGGTCCCCGAGGGGGCGAGGGCGCCGGAGACAGTGAGGAGGAAGGGGGAGTGGGGCAGGAAGGCGAGCGCGGTGACGGGCTGGTGCCACGGCAGGCCTGCCTGCAGGGGGCTGAGAGAGGGCGCGCAGTGCAGCACGGCCAGCAGCGCGTGGCGGTCGGGGTCCCACAGAGTGACGCGGTGCAGGGCGGCCACGGCCAGCAGGGAGCCCTCCCAGGAGAAGCTCGCTGCAAGGAGGGGCTGGGAGGCGTAGCTGCCCACGCCACGGCAGCGCCAGCAGAAGGTCAGCGGTGCGATGCCCGCCTCCCGCTCCTCCATGCGCTCCCGTGCCGTCTTCGCTTGGCCTGACCCCTGCACGCCTCCTCTCCCTCGCGCCCCGCCCCCTTTCACTCCCCCACGCCCCTGCTTGGCACCCTTTCTCTCTCCCTCCTCCCCCCCTTCGTCCTCCCCCTCGCCCCACACGCGGGTCCAAGTGCGGAATTCACCGTCCGTGCCGCACGTGACCACCATGTCGCCGCCCGCCCGCACGTGCACGCCGGTCACCAGCCCCGCCGCCCCGTGCGGCGCATCCACCGCCGTTGTCAGCGCCGTCAGCCCCTCCTTGCTGCTCTTGCCACCCTTACCACTGCCCTGCCTCACGCCCTGAGTGCCGCCGAACGGCGCCGCCCAGAACTTGAGGGTGGACTGCTGGCCGGCCAGGTCTTCCGGCTGGCGAATCTCAACAGTGACGAGCGTGTGGCCGTCGGGGGAGAAGCACACGTGGCTCACCCAGATTGGCGGGGGTTTCGGCCCCTGCTGCTGCGGCTGCGGTTGCTGTGGCTTGCCCGCACCCCCCTGCAGCAGGCGCACGGCCTGGTCGCGCTGCTGCATCTCCTGCACCTTCAAGGCGCGCTTGAAGCGTGCCTCAGCGGAGGAGACGACGTTGATGCGCATGAGCTGCACCTGTGCCACCACCTGCTGCCTCCCCACCTCGTACACCTGCACCAGCCCCAGCGGCCCCACCACTACCAGCCGCGCACTCCCGCCCCTCACACTCTGCACCACTGCTGACGGGGCCCCACCGCCCGTCACTGCCAGCTCAACCGCCAGCTGGCGTGCCACGTCAGCCGGGAGGCAGTTGGAGAGGGAGGCGGAGGTGGCAGAGGCGGAGGAGGGGAGGGGGCCGAGAGGGGATTTGAAGGGGTCGAGCGGGGGGAGGATGAAGTGTCGCGCGGGGAGGGGGCGCGTGGGGGGCGGGGGGGCGATGCCACGGATGGAGGCGATGAGGGACGACTCACTGAGGTCCACCACTCGCACGCTGTTGTCCGCACACTGCATGCCAAACCGCAACGCCTCTGGTGCTGCCAACGGTGCCACCAGCGACCTCGCTCCCCCCGCCCCCCCTGCTGCTGCTCCTGCTGCTGCTGCCGCTGCACTGGGTGCGGAGGGGCTGGGGGGAGGCAGCGGGGGGAGCAGGGAGGGCGGGAGCACGAGGCGGAGCAGGGCGGCAGGCATGCGGGGGAGGAAGCGGCGCGCGCCGGACTGCAGCTGCCAGATGAGCGCCACGGCCTCGGCACCTATGGACACCAGGTGGAGCCCGTTCGGGGAGAAGGCGAGGTCCGCCACGGCGGAGGCGTGCCAGTGCAGCGATGACACCGCCTCACAGTCCTCCTCCCCCTCCGCGCCCCTCCGCCCCTCTCCCTCCTCCTCGCCCTCCCCCTCCTCCCTTTCTCCTGCTCCTGCTGCTCCTCCTCCTCTCCCGGCGCCCCACCTGCCCCCGCCCCCTCCCCGCCCACCTCGTCCCCCTCCCCGACCTCTCCCCCCCCTCCACCCGCCCTCTCGCCCTCCGCGCCCGCCAGCTGGCGCGCCCCTGGCTTGGCCTTCCCCCCACGCCCACCCGGAGCGGCGGCCGATGCCGTGCCACACCACCACGCGCCCCAACACGTCACCTGCTGCCACCTGCACGCACGCGGGGCGGGAGAGAGACGGGGCACGTGGGAGGTGGCTCATGTGAGGGGCACGTGGGAAAGACGAGCGTGAGAGGAATGAAGGAACAGCAGCAGGGGCAGCAGGAGCATCATGAGGGGCAGCAGGAGCATCATGAGGGGCAGCAGGAGCATCATGAGGGGCACGAGTGGCATGAGCAACAGCGGGGGCATGGGGGCATGGGGGGAGAGCGCGCATGGGGGGAATGGGGCGGCGCACCTGCTGGTCATCGGGGTGGATGGCGACGCAGGTGAGGGCGCGGCGGTGGTGCAGGTGCAGGCGCGCGTGGTGCGCGGGGCGCGTGCAGTGCGCCACGAACACCTTCCGCCCCGACGCCACCGCCAGCAGCCGCCCCGTCGCTGGACTGATGGCCAGCGGGGACGACACGAGCAGCTGCGCGGAGGGGGAGAGGAAGGGGGAAGAGGTGGGGGGAAGGAAAGGGAAGAGAGCGGGAGAGGAGCAGGGGCAGGCAGGGCGGGTTGAGTTGATGGGGAGAGGGGCGAAGTGGCGTGAGTGGGGCGGATGGCAGCATGGCATGCAAAGCGTGAAAGAGAAGGGCGGGCAAAGGCGAGGAGCAGGTTGCGACCCGGTGGAGGAGCGACCTGGTGGAGGAGCGACCTGGTGGAGGAGCGACCTGGTGGAGGAGCGACCTGGTGGAAGAGCGTCTTGAGGCAGCGGTCTTGGAAGACGTCGTAGTGCAGCAGGTCGCAGCCGCGCTGCTCGTTGCCCACCACCACGAACGCCACCGGCGCCACCGCCCTCTCCTCCTGGCGCCCGCCCGCCCCGTCCACCACGTCCGTGCTCGCATACGGATACATCACCTGCTCATGGCGTTGTGGTTCGTGGGGGGGAGGAGAGGGAGAGTGAAGGGGAAAGGAGACGAGTGCAGAGAGAGGGTACGCAGGGAAGCGAGGAGGGTAGTGGGGAGGAGGATTGGTGGCGGTGGCGCGGGGAAGGAGGTGCGAATCGGATCCCAGGCGTGGGTGTATGGTGCGATCCAGAGAGTGAAAGTCACTCACAAGGTCTCTGATTGGTCGGCCCAGGTGCAGCACTCTTAGCGAGGCCCCCGTTACAAAGTTCCACAGCCGCATCGTTCCGTCCAGCGACCCGCTCCACGCGTACACCATCGATGACGTGGCAGAGTCTGGAGCTGACACGTCAGCAGGGGGGTTGATCCCCATGTGGTCATCGTCGTCATCAGCGCCGCGAGCGGCAGCGGCGGATGCGGCGGGCGAGCGGGCGACGGCGGAGGTGGAGACGCACGTGACGAGCGCCGTGTGGCCCTGCAGCACCGCCACCTGCCGGGGGGGGAGGAGGAGGGGTTGGGGGGACGGGGGGTTGAGGGGTTGAGGCGAGGGGGTGCGGAACGAGCATGCGGCATCGGAACGGCTGTGAGGACTGCTTCGGACGCACGGGGGCGAGTCAACTGCGCGAGTTCGGGGTTTATTGCGCCGCATGCACGGGGCGCACCTCGAGCGCGGGGAGAGCACCTCGGAGCGGGATGCGCACCTGGGCGGCGGGATGCGCACCTGGGTGGCGGAGGCGAGCGCGAAGACGCGGACGACGGCCCCGCACGGGCAGAGCAGGCGCTGGCCGTCCGCGCTGAACGCCGCGCGCCCATCCACCAGACTGCCGCCGCCCCATGCCACCGGCGCGGCTGCCGCCAGGGTGGGCGGAAGCGCAGGCATAGCGGCCCGAGATAGACGCGGGGAGCGGCAAGGGGTGTAGACAAGGGAAATGAGGCGAGGTTCCGGGTTGGGACAAGGTTCCGGGTGTAGGGTTTAGGCAGACGCAAGGGGGGGGATGCAGAGGTAGGCGAGCGACGAAAGGAAGAAGACGGGTCGCAAGGAATGACGGCGAATCGACGCAGGCGCGAGCAGGGAGGTGAGGTGTCCGTTTAGCGAGAGGAATGAGGGGATCAATTCTAGGCGTGACCGATCGTGCCGCTGCTGGTAATAATGTTGGCGTACGGGCCGTCTCAAAGAAATTCTAAGCGCCTTGCGACGCGCTCTGCCACGCGCTTACGAGACACCCTTTGCTTGGCTTCTGAGTTTCAAATAGCTCTCTGTGTTGTAAGGCTTAGCGCGAGTGGTGAATGCTGAGGGCACCGCGACATAATAGTCGCCCTGTCATACCGCACAGCTCAAATGAACACAGCCTCGCGGTGTAGCCTGAGTTATTACATGCCATACTTCAAAACAGTTTAACCCAGCATAGTTACAGTATTTTGAATTCCATTCCTCTTCTCCATCTAGTTGCACTCCTGAGAGGAGAAAATCAGAAACCCCTTGTGATGAGTAAGAAAACGCAGTGTAGATGCACACAATAGCAGGAGGTGCTGAATAAAGCACTGTAAACTGTGCGAACCAATCTCGTGCGATTGTGCGTACCCACTTGCTAGCTGTAAGCCACATGTCTTGTTCAGCTGATAGCATGGCAACTTGTGTGCATGTGTGTGTGAGTGTAGACAGAACCCAGAGTGCTCCAGGGAGCAGGCAGCAGGCGTCATCGAGTGCACATGCTACCCAAGCCATGCCACCTCTGCCAACCCCATGCCTCCTCCCATCCCTCTGCCCTGACGGCCCCCCTCTCTGGCATTCCCCCTCCCTCCCCCATACCCCCTCCCCATCCCCACACTCACCCCCACCGCCCCCACCACTCCCATCCCACTGGTCACCCCTCTTCCCACCCCTCCCCCCACCCCCGTCTCTGGTGCTCCCCCTCCTGCCCCCACCCCTGGTGCAGGCCCCCCTGCCCTGCCACCACCCCACCCGCCTCCTCCCTGCTGGCCTGCCACAGCAGCAGCAGCAGCGGCGGCAGCAGCGGCAGACCAGTGACCCAGCTGCCCTGCCTGCACTGGAGATATGCCCATGGGCTCCGCACCGCTCTCCACCTCTCCATCTATTCCCGCCAATCCCTCTGCGCTGCTATCCCCCTCATCCTCCCCTCCCCGCCATCTCTCACTGTGTGTGGCAGCTGCACCGCCAGCAGCAGCAGCGGCAGCGGTGTGGTGTGGCAGGGCGTGTGGGTGGTCAGTGACAGCGCGGTAGTGGTGTGGGGCGGACGAGCCACTGGCCGTGGCAGAGGGGCGAGACCTGCAGGTGGGAGGGGGCACAGGGCAGGGAGAACATAGAGCATCGGAACACAAGGCATGGGGAACAGTGCCATGCTCGTGCCATGGAGACAAGCACATGGGCATGGTGCAGAGGAAGTGGCATAACGTGGCGTTGTCACTCCCTGCCCCACTCACCACATGAAGGCGCCAGCAGCAGCAAGAGGCGAGCAGTCCATGGCTCCCAGTGACCCCCCACTGCCCCGCCCCGCTGCCGCCCCTCCATTGCCCCCAGGCGCAGCAGCAGCTGACAACACACCCGGTGCCGCAGCAGCAGGAACAGCAGCCGCTGTTGTGGGTGCAGGGTGCATGTAGGCAGTGTTGAGAGGGCTCCAGGCAGCAGGGGGGGCAATGGTGTGCCCCCCATGCCCGTGTGACCCCACATGCCCATGCGAGCCCACATGCCCATGCGAGCCCACATGCCCATGCGAGCCCACATGCCCATGTGAGCCCACGTGAGTGTTTCCCTCCATAGAGCTGGGTCCGCTACCATGCCCACTGCCTCTCACCTGCCACGCAACCCCACCCACGCCTCCTGCCCCCTGCCCCTCATCCGCCCCCCCACCCTCCTGCTGTCCCCACCATCCCTCCCCACCTATTCCCCCATCCGCCGTGGCCCTACTCCCACCAGCAGCAGCAGTGGAGGGGGGCTGGTGGGGTTGTGGGGGGTGCAGGAGCAGGTCATCACAGAAGTATGGGTCCCACTCCGCAGGCCCATCCCCCTCGCCTGCTGAACTGCTCTTTCCCCTCTCCCACCCCGCTCCTCCTCCCCCTCCCTCCCCTTCGCCCCTTTTCCCCTCGTGCGCGTCACTCGTCACGCCTACTGCTGTGTGCCCACTCTCCTCGCTCCTGCCATTGCTGCTGTAGTGCGAGCCCAGCGCCAGCCCCAGCCCCAGCCCCAGGCTCACACCAGCTATACCCTCGCCACCACCACCACCCTCACCACCACCAGCACCACCAGCAGCTGCCTCCCAAGATTCTGGCAGCTGTGCACCCCCCTGCATGCTCACACGGGCACGGCCCTCCCCCACAAGCCCCCCCTGCTCTGCAAGCGCCTGCCTCCCTGCATGCACGCCATGCAGCCTGCTGCTACTCTCTGCACCGTGCCCACCCCCCTTGCCGCTCCTGCTGTCGCCAGCACCTTCACTCGCTGCTTCTCTTGCCCCCTGCTCCCCCCTTGCCATCCCTCCCTGCTGCCCCTCACACTGCTCCTGCTGCACCTGTCTCTGCTTCAACTCTTCCGCTTCTTGTTGTAGCTGCAGTTGCTGCTGCTGCAACAGATGCTGCTGCTGTTGTTGCTGCTGTTGCTGCTCCAATTGCTGTTGCTCCAATTGCTGTTGCTGTTGCTGCTGTTGTTGTTGTTGCTGCTGTTGTTGTTGTTGCTGCTGCTGCTGCTGCTGCTGCTGCTGTTGCTGTTGCTGCTGCTGCTGCTGCTGCTGCTGCTGCTGCTGCTGCTGCTGCAGCTGCAGGTGCTGTTGCAGCTGCAGTTGTTCCTGCTCCTGTTGCTGCTGCATGATGGCCATCAACCGCATCACCTCACTCTGCCGCCTCTGGAACTGTCCCATCACAGCCGCCTTCTCCAGTGCAATCCCCCCTTCCGCTCCGCCCCTGCCAACACTCAACCCCATCCCCCCTGCCCCTGCGCCCACCAGCCCTCTAGCAGCGGGGGAGGGCAGCCCTGCGCCCGGATTGTGGCTGGTAGGGTGGGTGGTGCCGCTGGGGCCCAGAGAGGACGCCTGCCCCACGGACCCTCGGGCCAGCGGGGAGGAGAAGTCAGGGTGGAGCGAGGACGGGGAGAAGTGAGGCGAAGAGGTGGTGGGGGAGGAGGGCGTTGTGGGCTCACTCACACGCACCTGTAGGTGTCCCTGCCGCCCACCCTGCTGCTGTTGGAGTTGGTGCTGGTGCGAGTGGGAGGATGGGAAGTGGCGCGAGTGGGAGGGAGGGGTGAACTGCAACGGACTGGCTCCCAGCAGCGAGTTGCTGCTCACTGCCACTTCGCCGTCCCTCCCCCCCCAGTACCCCCCTCCCCCTCGCCCTGCCCCGTCCAGGAAAGGCCCGCCAGGGCTTTGCCCCAAGAGCACATACGCACCCTCATTCCCCATGCCCTGCCACATCCCCCCACCACTGCCCCGCCTCTCCTGCTGCCTGCCGCCAGCAGATACGGCGCCGGGGGCTGCAAGGGTGGCAGCTGCGGGGATGCTCATGCTCATGCCCATTCCCACTCCCGTGCCAATGCCCATACCTGTGCTGCCGTCTGCCACCTGTTGTGAACGAAACTGGGCGGAGAGCAGGGATGCAGATGAGGGCTGCAGGGAGTGAGAACTCTGCAGCTGCTCATGCAGGGACGACCGCTTTTGCTGCGATGGCTGCTGCTGCTGCTGCTGCTGCTGCTGGTGGTGCTGCATCTGCTGCATCTGCTGCTGTTGATGCAGCCTCTGCAGCTGTTGATACTGCTGCTGCTGCTGCTGCTGCTGCTGCAATTGCAGTTGAAACTGCTGCTGAAACTGCTGCTGCAGGTGCTGCTGCTGGTACTGCTGCAACGAGCCCCTCCCGGGACCCAGAGGGCTGGACGGCATCTGACTCATGAGACTCGATTGACTTGCTTGACTCAGCTGATTCACCTGACCTGCCTGATTCGCCAGCCCGGCCTGCCCCAGCTGACCCATCTGCCACTGCTGCGCCGCTTGATTCATGCTGGCCAGCGCAGGCAGCAGCTGCCGTGTGTCCGGGCTCTGCCCAAACCCTAACCCTAATCCTAACCCCAGCCCTCCACCACCTCCCGCAGCTGCTGCTCCTGCCGCTGCTCCAAACGACCCTGACCCCAAGTCCGCCCCCTGCCCTGCCGCAGCCAGGTGCGCAGCATACGCCATGTAGGAGCCTGTGGGGTCTGTCAGACTGCCCACCCCTCCCAGACTCCCCACGCCCCCCATCCCTCCCATCGCTCCCATGCCCGCCACGCCCCCCATGCCCCCCACACTCCCCATGCCTCCCAAACCCCCCATGGCGCCAAAGCTGTTGCCAAGGCTGCCAAGGCTGCCGTAGGAGCCCACACTGGCGCCCAGAGGGCCGTAGTTGTGGGGCAGCCCGAGGGGCACGCCATACCCCCCCATGCTCCCATATCCGCCTTCGCCCATGCCTGCTGCTCCCATGCCTGGCCCCATGCCTGCACCCATGGCCAGAGCAGCAGGAGCAAGGGCGGCGGGCATGGCAGCAGGAGCAGGTCCAGACAGAGCCATAGCGGGCGGCAGTGCTGCTCCCACGCCCGCTGCCCCGCCCAGGCTGCCTGCCATTATGCCACCCTCCAACGCCCCTCCCCGCCCTGCTTCCTGAGCTCCTAGCGACTGCCTGTGCTGCAGCACACGCGCATGCTGCTGCTGCTGCTGCTGCTGCTGCTGCGCGAGGCGCGAGGCACCCTCCCTGTGCAGCGGCTGCAGCTGAGCGGCCTCGGTGGCGTCCACGTGCTGGTGCTGCGGGGCGGGTTGAAGCGGGGATGAGACGCATGGGGGGATGCACGTGTTGACCACGGGAGTGAGTTGCAAGACGCAGTCAGGCAGAGCGATTGCAGAGCAGCGGGAGGAGTGAGGTGCGGAAGGAAGAGGTGAGCTCACCTGGCGCTGTGGCTGGAAAGGCCCCATCCATGGCTCGTCCGTGATAAATGGGTGCTGTGCCGCCTGCCAGTACGAGGGAGGGATCGATGTGGGGTGGAGTAGGTGATACTTAGAGAAAGAGGGAGAGAGGAGGAAACGGGAGCAGAAGAGAGAGAGCAGGGAGGCAAGGCAAGCAAAGAGGCCAGCAAAGCGCATGGAGGCGGGGGTGCGGGGTTCGGAGACCTGGCGGGCGGTCCAGCGCTGGGCGGGGTCCATGTGGAGCAGCCCTGAGAGGAAGTCCACAAACGCCACTCGGCTCGCCCGCTCCTGCCGCGCCTCCTCCGCCCCTTCCCCGCGCCGCAGCGCATAGCCCAGCACGAGGTCGCTCAGTGCCGTCTGGCGGAAGTAGCGCTTCCCCAGCGCTGGCCGTGCCTCCCCCCCCGCCACCACCTCCTCCACCGTCTTCAGGCGGTATGCAGAACCGCGCCCATCCTCCCCCCCGCCCCCCCCATCTGCTGTGCGCACAAAGTACTTGGCCGTGTGCTTGGCACGCCTCAACATGGCATCGGGCGGCTGGCAACTGCAGGGCAGAGCGAGGGAGCAGGAAAGGTGAAGAAACGCGGGAGGGGAAGAAATGAGAGCGTGGAATACTCATATCAGGACAAGAAAATAGGGATAAATAAACGAGGGGGATGATTCATGCGGAGGGAGGAGCATAGTTGAAGGCAGAAGGGACACCAAAACGAGTGAGTGTGCGTGCGGGGCAGTGACTGACGGACCCCATGGTCTCGACCATGCGGTGCAGCATGTCAAACTCGGAGGCGCCAGGGAAGAGCGGCAGGCCGAGGAAGAGCTCCGCCGCCACACAGCCCAGCGACCACAGGTCGATGGCCGTGCCGTACGCATGCCCCAACACCACCTCCGGCGACCGGTAGAACCGACTCTGGTGGTAGTAGGGGGATACATGGGGGGACGCAGCAGTGAGGGGCATGGCAAAGGCCTGTGGCGAGTGTAGGCACGGGGTATGGGACCGACAGAGCAAGGGGATAGAAATGGTGGTTAATTGCTCGCACATGCAGCATAAGTGATGGTGGGGTGCATGGCAGAGCGGGCCCAGGCGGCGCACCTGGATGTAGGAGTACACGGTTCGATTCTCAGTGCATGCAGAGCCGAAGTCGATGAGCTTGATCTCTCCGCCCAAGCTGGGGTCAGCACAGGGCAGGTTGGACGGGAGATGAGGGGCATGGGGGGGAAACAGGGCATAAGTGACGGGGAGGAGGGCGGGCATCGATGACAAGCACATGAGCTTGAAAGATGAGTCCAAAAGAGCGAAGCTTAGGGCGCGGGACGTACCTTTTGAGGAGGATGTTTTCGGGCTTGAGGTCGCAGTGGATGACGCGCGCATCCTCCAACACCGTCAGCGCCACCAGCAGCTGCACCTCCGGGGGGAATGGCGTGGCATGGACAAGGGCAGGGTGGGGGGGAAAGGGGTGGCCGCACACGAGGATGAGAAGGGAGGACGCGGAGAGGAGGGGGGTGGGGGGGGGGGGCAGGCGGCATGGAGTAGGTACTCAGAAGCAGGAGGCGTGTTGACAACGAAGGTGTGAGTAATGTGTAGTCAATCAGGGAGGGTGGCAATGCACCTGCTTGGTGAAGAGGCGCACCTGCTTGGTGAAGAGGCGCACCTGTTTGGTGAAGAGGCGCACCTGTTTGGTGAAGAGGCGCACCTGTTTGGTGAAGAGGCGCACCTGTTTGGTGAAGAGGCGCACCTGCTTGGTGAAGAGGCGCACCTGTTTGGTGAAGAGGCGCACCTGTTTGGTGAAGAGGCGCACCTGTTTGGTGAAGAGGCGCACCTGTTTGGTGAAGAGGCGCACCTGTTTGGTGAAGAGGCGCACCTGTTTGGTGAAGAGGCGCACCTGTCTGGTGAAGAGGCGCACCTGTTTGGTGAAGAGGCGCACCTGTTTGGTGAAGAGGCGCACCTGCTTGGTGAAGAGGCGCACCTGTTTGGTGAAGAGGCGCACCTGTTTGGTGAAGAGGCGCACCTGTTTGGTGAAGAGGCGCACCTGCTTGGTGAAGAGGCGCACCTGCTTGGTGAAGAGGCGCACCTGCTTGGTGAAGAGGCGCACCTGTTTGGTGAAGAGGCGCACCTGTTTGGTGAAGAGGCGCACGAGCTTGAGAGAGAGGCCGCGGAACTGGTTCTGGCGGATGAGCTCGAAGCTGCACACAGCATGGAACACGCAAAGGTGAGCGAGGGAGAGCTACGCAATGCAATGCTACGACGCATACTGTTATGGGACGAAGAGCCAGCGCGCGTGGCAGGGGTGTGGTGGGCGTGTGCACGAGGGTGGGGGCGAGGGAGAGGGAAAGGGGTCGGGCAGGTGACTGACAGGTTGTAGGTGAGGAGTTCGAAGACGATGCAGAGGTGGCTGTGGCACACGAAGTGGTCCACCAGTCGCACTATGTGGTGCTCGTCCTGCGGGTCATACGACCCGTTCAACTGCTTCCAGCACAGAGGAAGGGGAGAAAGGAGGGGGAAGGGGAGGGCAGCAGAATGAGGAACAGGGATGGGGTGTGTGAAGCAGAAGTTGCAATGCAATAGCGTGTCACCCGCCAGTGAGCGCAATGCACGGTGGCACAGCTAGCAGAGCAGTCCCACATGCCCAGCAATAACAGTCTCAACAGTGTGCGGTGTGGCAGAGCAGAGGGGCCTCACGAGGCGGAGGATGCTGATCTCAACGAGCGCCTGGTGGTAGTACGCGGGCTGGTTCTTGATGACCTTCACCGCCACCACCTCGCCCGTCTCCCCGCACTCGCACTTCACCACCTGCCCGAACGTGCCCTGCCCCAACACGTCCCGCACCACGTAGCTGCGCGGAACCAGCGGGACGGGGGAGGGAAGGGGGGGATGAGCAAGCGATGAGGACGAGCGTGTCCTGGAGCGCACCTCGCTGCCGTCAAGATCGTGCGTGGCCCCTCCAAGTGACTAAACCGAATGAGAATGAGTTTGAGATTGGGACCAATGCCTGGGTGAAGGTTGCGGGAGGCGCGTGAAGGGCGCATGGGGGTCGCGGAGCAGCCTGCAGCGCACATGTGCGTGCGGGTAACGCGGTGGGCAGCGCCGTGTAGCCAAGTGCGGGGGTCACCTGGGGGTGCCGGGGTCGCCGTGCAGCACAAGGCGTCACCTGGGGGTGCCGGGGTCGCCGTGCAGCACAAGGCGTCACCTGGGGGTGCCGGGGTCGCCGTGCAGCACGAGGCCCGTGGAGAGAATGAGGTCGGAGTTGGCGTTGTCCCACCCCTCGTTCCCCGCCGCCTCCGACGGCTTCGTCAGCACCACGCGCGCCGCCCGCTCGCCGTCACCCGCTCCGCCCTCCGGCGAGCCATACTCGCCAGCTGCGGGTTGGTCAGGCGCGGCGGGCGCGGGGTTTGAGGAGGGATGGTGGGCGGCGATGTGGGCGCGCGAGGCGTCGTTGCAGGCGGAGTACGTGTGCTTGAGCCCCGCCGTCATCCGCACCACCAGCTGGCGCACGCCGTGGCGCAGCGTGGGGGGGGGGAATGAGGGGCGGAAGGCACAGGATGGAAGAAGAGGAGAGAACACAGGGGAGCATTGTCAAGAAAACGGAAGCGTCAGAGAAGTAACAAGCAGATTCGCGCGGGAATCACGAACGTGAGGAGAGGCAAGCACGACGAGGGGGAAAGGAATGTCCAGGCGTGCAGTGAGAAGAGAATACGGTTCATACTGTCACTAATGGCTAAAACGGTGGACTAGAGCAGTGACGATGGGACCAGTGCTGGTGTAAGAGCTGGAGGCGACATTGAGGTAAGTGAGCGGAAGATGTCCAGGGCTGGATGCGATGGTCATGACGCGCCCTAGGCCGAGAGGATCGCCAGGGTAAACGACGCGCCCTAGACGTGGCAGTCTACGGAAATCGAGACTGAAAATGCTCAACCACCCTGACACCGCAAGTCTCAGCCGTTTCAGCATTCACTCACGCATCGACCGTCTCTCACAGTCACGACGACAGTTTGCATCCGTTACAAGAATCTCCACAAATTGCTCATAAAACGGGCTCATGGCACGTGTGGACCATGCTTCCCGTTCCAACGGTCCCGGAAACTCCACTGGTCCACCATCCTCCATGGTTACTCGGCTGAAGATTGACAGCTGACGTGGTCAATCTGGAGGACTTGGGTGATTGAGACCTACTTGCCAAGCAGGTACTAAAGAAGCAAGTTCTGCAAGCAGCAGCGGGTGACGGCGAGGCTCCTCGGACTTACTGGCGTCCGCTGGTTCGATTCCTGCCGCTGCTCGCCGTTCTGCTCCGCATGCGCGTCCGACACGCGCGCCACCACGGAGAACGCTCCTTGCCGAGGCATCCAAGCGGCCGTCACTGGCGCCGATCGGGATTCCGACTCCTGCCTCGCACCAAATAGGTCAGTCGCTCCGTCTAATCCGAAGCTGGCCTTTGAGCTGTCCGTTTGTTCCTGACTAAGATCTAAATTCCAAAGGCCGGAACCAAGGCCGTCGACGTCATGATCCTTAATCGCAGGGGGTTGCGAAGATCCGAGATTGAGGCTTCCCATTTCCTGCACCCAGACTACTGCATAGCCTCGCTACGGAATCCTCAACCGTCGAATTCCCTCGTGCACCGGAGCAATAGGACGAGCCCATAGGCTTCAGAGAACAACCTCTAAGGCCGACTAACCGTCAGGCTGAAGCATATTATCGCCTCACAATGGCAGCATGTGGTGAAAACGGCGAGGTATATTCGATCACAAGGAGCTATGGCTGGAAGCACTGCAGGGGGACCCAACGGACTGCGGAACACAAGGCTGCAAAAGGCCGCTCGCTGCAGGCGGAAGCACACGGCGGAAGGTCCACAATGTGAACAGTTCCCGCCGACCACCTCCGCTCCGCCATGATGAACTGGGTGCTCACATCAGTGACGTGTCGGCCGGGCTGCCAAAACCGCACTCGCGAGAAGGCCATGTCGATGTTGCGAAGGTTTCGCGTGTGAAACATGCTGGAAGCTGCGATGGCTCTGCAGTAGCATGCGACGCTCCTTTGGGGTTTCCATGCGACCACTGCTGCCCACGTGCGTTCGCGACGTTCTCGAGGTTTTACGGTGTGAGTTGAAGGTGACTGAAACGGGCTTCTGGATGTGGGCCTTATTGAGATTTGTTCACTAAAGAGCCTAAAATCCCATACATTGAAACTAGTACCATATAAAGAAGCATTACACAGTTAGTATGAGATTTCAAGTGGACCCACTAGTAAGGGGGGGGGGGTCACTATTTTAGATGCTGGCTATAAAGAAAACAATGCACATAAAGGTGTGCTGGATATGAATTTTCTTATCTAAGACACGATTAATACTTCTAAACCAATATTTTTTTTAATAAAAATGAAGGAATGGATATGCGGGGCATGCTTAGTCGATTACAAGTTCTTGGAAAGAAACTGATCGAGACCATCATGTTCTTTCTGTAATAAGTACGTATGGGAAGAAAAGTGTGGTCTTACATTTTATTGCATGTAACTGACTCAAACATTTCTTGTAGTGAGCGACTACGTTGGAGAATGTGATAGCTATTAGCGAGCAGCATTTAGATCTTCTCGAAAGGGCGGAAAGGCGGCGATTTACGGAGGGTTGATGGCAACGTGGACACCACGCTGGCAAGATTTGACCTAAACCTTGCCGCGTGGAAAGGTTCCACAGAACCTTCTGAGAGTGGCCTTCTGGAATATCAGCGACTCTTCTTCCACGTGGCGTCCTTCGTGGCCGAATGCTGCTAGGTTGAATGAAACTCGAGGTTCTTCCTTTCCCTACGCCTCCCCATCCCACCATTGCTCCTGTCACATCAACCTCAGCTTCACTCACCACGTCTCATTTTTCCTAACACGATCGCAACATCGCCACGGCTCTCCTCGCCAGACGCTCATACTTGTCTCTTCGCGCTTCCGTGAGCGACTGTTCCTGCTATCGTGCTTGCCGAAGAAGACCTCGGTCATGGCGTCCAGCTTGGCCCATAGCATGGCAGCGGCCCAAACTGCAGTGCCCGCGAAGGTAGCCGACCGTGCAAGGATGCAATTACAGCAAACGGCATTCGTAGATTGACGTCGTAGTTTGTTTCAATTACAGCAACCTCTCCTCAACCACGAACTTGGGCGGCATATTTATTGTGGTGTTCCCACGCAGCGGCACTTATTAATGGCCGTTGGCTGCGATTCCTCTCCCTTTTCTCAACCATCCCTCCCCTCTTCCCTTTCTCCCCCCCCCCGCCCCCCCCTCCCCCCTTCCCCCCCCTCCACCCCACCTCCTCCCCCTCCCCACCTCCCCCCCCCCCTCCCTCCACGTGCAGATTAGCAAAGCGGCGGCTCTAGCGCCAGGCAGTCGCCAGCTGGCTGCGTCCTTCGCCCGTTCACCTGCCACTACGCGCACTCGGCGGTCGCTGCGGGTGCGCGCGGAGGCGAAGGATATTCTGTTCGACCAGGCGGCGCGGTCCGCGATGCAGTCCGGCATCGACAAGCTCGCGGACGCCGTGGGCGTCACGCTCGGCCCGCGAGGTACGCTGATAAGCTCGCTCCGCGGCTCGCGAAGCACAACTTGCCTGTGTCGCGGCCGCCATGCTCGCCGGCACTAGGAACTCGCTAGTTGTGTCGGGTCAGAAACTGTCGCATGGCGAGTCGTCGGTCGTGTTGTCGGCCGACGGTCCCATCAGCCACTCCGTCGAACAATCAGCCTACATATCGTACGATCAGCGAATCCACCGTACGATCAGCCAATCTATCGTACGATTAGCCAATCCATCGTACGATGATCCAATCGACTGTACGATCAGTCAATCTGCTGTACGATCGGTCAACATATCGTACGATAGATGGTACGACCAGGAATTCTCGTACAATCAGGAATTCCTCGTACGATCAGAAATCTCTCGTACGACCAAGAATCTCTCGTATGACCAGGGATCTCTCGCACGACCAGGATTGTGTCATATGATCAGCAATCGTCGTCCGATCAGCAATCGTTTCACACGAAACAGTTGGTGGCATCATCGCCCAAGTGTCACACCATCCATTCTGTCAGCCGCCAGTATTGGCAGCGCGTGAGTTGAGGCAATGAGAGTGTTCTCCTGGTGCGGGGCGCAGGTCGCAATGTGGTGCTGGACGAGTTCGGCGCGCCCAAGGTGATCAACGACGGCGTCACCATCGCCAGGGCCATCGAGCTGCCCGACCCCATGGAGAACGCCGGCGCCGCCCTCATCCGCGAGGTGAGAGATGCCTGGAGATAGCAGGTTTAGGGTAAAGGATAAAGCAACCAGGGTTCTGGGGATTGTATTTCAGCATTCTTCCCCTAGCCAGCCGTGCAGCCGTGCAGCATATTGCCGCTCGAATTGCACGCCCATCACACACCCCGCTAAAACATCCCCCGTTACTATCACATCCGCCCGCCAGGTGGCGTCGCGCACGAACGACTCGGCGGGCGACGGCACGACGACGGCGAGCGTGTTGGCGCGCGCGCTGATCAACCTGGGGCTGCTCAACGTTACGGCGGGCGCCAACCCCGTGGCGCTCAAGAAGGGCATTGACAAGACCGTTGCGCACCTCGTCGAGTCGCTCAAGGACCGCGCGCGCCCCGTCAAGGGCCGCGACGATATTAAGGGTGCGTGCGCTGGGCGCGGTTGCAGGAAAACCCTAGACTTGGGACTCTGGCGATGCCTTTCTGAAAGCACGAGTCTCGAGTCTGGCTGATCAGCTCTCACGCGCCGTGCGTGTGGCAGTCTGCGAGACTCGCCGCTCTCGAAGCATCCCAATCTCACTTCATCTCTCGCTCCCTCTCCCTCCCTGTTCCCCACCTTCACCCATGTGTCACCGTGCGCGTGCCGTACCCTCCCCCTTGGGCGAGCAGCGGTGGCGACGATCAGCGCGGGCAACGACGACGAGATCGGCGAGATGATAGCGGACGCCGTGGACAAGGTGGGCGCGGACGGCGTGCTCTCCATCGAAAGCTCCTCGTCCTTCGAAACCACCGTCGACGTCGAGGAAGGCATGGCGGTGAGTTGCGCTTCTTCCCCGTCCGCTTGCTTCTTGCCCGTGTGCCCGCTCCGCGGTTCCTACTTAGCACATTCGCTCCCCACGGGTCCCACCTTCCGGCCGCTTCACATGCCGTCCTACTCACTCATCCCCCTTCGCCCGGTTTGCTCCCCAACTCCTCCGCGCCCTTCCCTCTCCCCGGGTGCGCAGATCGACCGCGGTTACATTTCGCCACAGTTCGCGACGAACACGGAGAAGATGCTCGTCGAGTTCGACAACGCGCGCGTGCTCGTCACGGACCAGAAGGTCAGTGTGTCTGCTGTTGGATTGGTTCGTATTGCCGGTTTAAGCAGAATGTTGGAATCGTGCGACTGAAAGAACACAATAAGCACTAGCCGGAAGCTGTTGGTGACTAATAAGCCCCTCCCCCCCATGTGGCCCGCGTTCCCCGTCGCGCTCGTGCTCCGCACTCCCCATGGCTCCAACGCGCTCTTCGCCACTTACACGCTCAGCGCCCAGTTGCACTATCGACTGTTCGCTGACGCACTCACTCCCCGCTCCCCACCTCCCTCCCCCCCCTCCCTCTCCCCCTCGGGCGCACGCGCGGCGCAGATCACGGCGATCAAGGACATCATCCCGGTGCTGGAGCGCACGTCGCAGCTGTCGGCGCCGCTGCTGATCATCGCGGAGGACGTGTCGGGCGAGGCGCTGGCGACGCTGGTGGTGAACAAGCTGCGCGCCGTGCTGCAGGTCGCCGCCATCAAGGCGCCCGGCTTTGGCGAGCGCCGCAAGGCGCTGCTGCAGGACATCGCCATCGTCACAGGTGGGGGGTGGGGGAGGGCAGGGCATGGGCTGGTTGAAGAAGTAAAATAAGAGATGAACCAAATGTGTGTATGCATATGCAAGAGCGTGTTCGCATGTGTGTGTGTGTGTGTGTGTGTGTGTGTGTGTGTGTGTGTGTGTGTGTGTGTGTGTGTTCGTATGTGTGTGAGTGAGTGAGTGAGTGGGTGATTGCGTGGGTGTGCTTGTGTGTGTGCGCGCGTGCTCGCCCATGTGTGTGTGTGTGTGTGTGTGTGTGTGTCTGCACGGGTGTGTGCGTGTGCTCACCTGGCGCCCCATCCCTCCGCTCCCTCATCCACTCTTCCCATCCCTTCAGGGGCGGAGTTCATGGCGTCTGATCTGGGGCTCAAGGTGGAGGGAGCGACGGCGGACCAGCTGGGAGTGGCGAGGAAGGTGACCATCAGCAGCAGCAGCACCACGCTCATCGCGGACAGCGCCACCAAGGACGAGATTGCAGCGCGTGTGGCGCAGATCAAGCGCGAGCTGCAGGAGACGGACAGCGTCTACGACACCGAGAAGCTCTCGGAGCGCATTGCCAAGCTCGCTGGGGGCGTGGCTGTCATCAAGGTCCGAGCCATGCCTGCTGCCTGCTGCTTGCTGGGTGCTGGGTGCTGTGGCGGGGTTGGGGATACATAGCTTGTGAGAATTGCAGGAACACACGCTCCACTTCTGGGCACACCAGTTGCCACTCACACGGCATGCCATGCGCTCACCCCCCTTGTGTGGCATGGCAGGTGGGGGCGGCAACGGAGACGGAGTTGGAGGACCGCAAGCTACGCATCGAGGACGCCAAGAACGCCACGTTCGCCGCCATCGAGGAGGGCATCGTGCCGGGCGGCGGTGCCACCATGGTGCACCTGGCAGCGCTCGTGCCCGCCTTCAAGGCCCAGCTCACTGACGCGGAGGAGCGCATCGGCGCCGACATCGTGGAGCGCGCACTGCTGGCGCCGTGCTCGCTGATTGCCCACAACGCGGGTGTGGAGGGCGCGGTGGTGGTGGAGCGCGTGCGGGAGAGCGAGTGGGAGATGGGGTACAACGCCATGGCCGACCAGTACGAAGACCTCCTCGCCTCCGGTCCGTGCTCCTCTCCCTGCTCACCCCTTACCCCGCGCCACTCCCTGCTCGTGCTGTGCCACTAGGAGCTTGCCCCATGCCGCTCCGTGCTTGTTAGCTCTGTTGTGTTGTGTTCTCTGCACTTCCATGAGCACCTGCGCTGCTCGTCACTCATCTGCTCTCCACACTCCCTCCCCTCCCGTGCGTGCAGGAGTGATCGACCCCGCCAAGGTGACGCGGTGTGCGCTGCAGAACGCGGCATCAGTAGCGGGCATGGTGCTGACGACGCAGGCCATCGTGGTGGAGAAGCCCAAGAACAGCAGCGGCACTGCCAACACCCCCTACTCGCCACAAGTGCCCCTCACGCTCTAGGCCATTCAGCCAGCAGAGAACACAGCTTGAGGAGTTTAGAACCGGGAACAGTGTCCATGTAATGTAGCAGTGTTGACATTCTGATGTTGCCCTTCATCAGTATTAAAACACAAGTGGATGAACCACACAACCTGACTACAATGTGTGCAGCTGGGTAGACCTCAACTGCCAAAGCTGGAAGAGAACTGCATGGCAATGTACAATGCAGCAGAGTGTGCCTGTGGTGGGAGGGCCATTTCAGGGCATTCTGGACTGGAACGTCCACTGAACACGACCGAAGTGAAGTCTTGGAAGGCGTTGCTTTCAAAATGGCAGAGCAGAGGTCAGGAGACACAGCCTCGAGTGAAATCTCGAAAAAAAAGGTTAGTGGTGAAGCGCCTCAGCATCCAGTAAATGGCGTCGCGTCAATCTTAATCAGATTAGAGGTCAAGATTAGCATGGCAAAACAACAAAAGTTACGCGCCAGCAAGGGGTCGAACCTTGGACCTCTCGCTTAGGAAGCGAACACTCTATCCACTGAGTTACAGGCGCTGCTGCCTTCACGATACGTATTTATTCGATTTGTATAACTGAATTCCGACAAGCATTCTTTCGCCTTGTTCCATCGTATGGCGGATCAGACGCGTAGCAGCGATGCTTCTGTGGCGGCAGGCGAGCGGATGCTGAAGCGCTGCCTGCGATGGAGTTGAGTGTCGCCGCTCAGCCGCCCCTGCGCCTTGCCCCTTGCCACCTTGTGGCGCTCTTGCCCTCGCCCTGTCACACTTTGCACTGCCGCCTTCTGTCCCATCGCCCGCCCTTCCTCCGACCTCCCGTTCGTCCCGCTCCCTGCAGCCTTTCACCCCATCTCCACATGCACATGCCCTCGCGCACGCGCCACTCGCTTTCCTCTCAACAAACGCACTTCGAGTCCCTCTCATCCCGACCGCGCCCACTGTCGTTTCCCCGCGCCCCCTCGTCCAGATCCAACGGTCCGATTCCTCCGCGAGTCGCTGGAGCGCGCCGGGTGCGCCGTGAGCGATGAGTTCTTTTCCGCGCGCCGATGCGACGAGCAGGCAGGCGGAGGCTTCATGCCCGGCGAGGGGGTGAGCGCTGGGAGGGAGGGGGGAGGGGGAAGAGGGAAGAGGGGAAATGGGAAGAAGGGGGAGAGCAAGGATCGAAGGCCTGGGGGGATGGGTAAAGGCGAGAATGATGACTTGTGTCAGCATAGGGGCAAGGTTGACGTTAGATGAGCCACCGTGCCACTTGTTGCCATGCTGTGTCACTATGCCAGCCCATGCCATGCCTGCTCATGTGTTCCTGTGTGACGACCCATGCCACACCTGTGTGTGCGCGGCGTGGGTGCATGGGTGCATGCGGGTGCGGGGAACGGCAGGTGGTGGTGTGTGCGAACCACGTGGGCGGGCAGGACGAGGTGGACGTGGTGGTGGCGCACGAGCTCGTGCACGCCCTCGACCACTGCCGCGCTAAGAACCTGCACTGGCCCGACCTCCAACACCACGCCTGCAGCGAGGTGCTTCCCTGCCCCCTGCCCCCTGCCTCCTGCCTCCTGCCCCCGCCCCCTGCCCCCCACCCCCCACCTCCTGGCTCACCTGCCGTGTGCATACTGCCATGCACATTTTCCTGCTCTGCTGTCATCCTGCCATGCATGCACGTGTCATCCTGCCATGCATGCACGTGTCATCCTGCCATGCATGCACGTGTCATCCTGCCATGCATGCACGTGTCATCCTGCCATGCATGCACGTGTCATCCTGCCATGCATGCACGTGTCATCCTGCCATGCATGCACGTGTCATCCTGCCATGCATGCACGTGTCATCCTGCCATGCATGCACGTGTCATCCTGCCATGCATGCACGTGTCATCCTGCCATGCATGCACGTGTCATCCTGCCATGCATGCACGTGTCATCCTGCCATGCATGCACGTGTCATCCTGCCATGCATGCACGTGTCATCCTGCCATGCATGCACGTGTCATCCTGCCATGCATGCACGTGTCATCCTGCCATGCATGCACGTGTCATCCTGCCATGCATGCACGTGTCATCCTGCCATGCATGCACGTGTCATCCTGCCATGCATGCACGTGTCATCCTGCCATGCATGCACGTGTCATCCTGCCATGCATGCACGTGTCATCCTGCCATGCATGCACGTGTCATCCTGCCATGCATGCACGTGTCATCCTGCCATGCATGCACGTGTCATCCTGCCATGCATGCACGTGTCATCCTGCCATGCATGCACGTGTCATCCTGCCATGCATGCACGTGTCATCCTGCCATGCATGCACGTGTCATCCTGCCATGCATGCACGTGTCATCCTGCCATGCATGCACGTGTCATCCTGCCATGCATGCACGTGTCATCCTGCCATGCATGCACGTGTCATCCTGCCATGCATGCACGTGTCATCCTGCCATGCATGCACGTGTCATCCTGCCATGCATGCACGTGTCATCCTGCCATGCATGCACGTGTCATCCTGCCATGCATGCACGTGTCATCCTGCCATGCATGCACGTGTCATCCTGCCATGCATGCACGTGTCATCCTGCCATGCATGCACGTGTCATCCTGCCATGCATGCACGTGTCATCCTGCCATGCATGCACGTGTCATCCTGCCATGCATGCACGTGTCATCCTGCCATGCATGCACGTGTCATCCTGCCATGCATGCACGTGTCATCCTGCCATGCATGCACGTGTCATCCTGCCATGCATGCACGTGTCATCCTGCCATGCATGCACGTGTCATCCTGCCATGCATGCACGTGTCATCCTGCCATGCATGCACGTGTCATCCTGCCATGCATGCACGTGTCATCCTGCCATGCATGCACGTGTCATCCTGCCATGCATGCACGTGTCATCCTGCCATGCATGCACGTGTCATCCTGCCATGCATGCACGTGTCATCCTGCCATGCATGCACGTGTCATCCTGCCATGCATGCACGTGTCATCCTGCCATGCATGCACGTGTCATCCTGCCATGCATGCACGTGTCATCCTGCCATGCATGCACGTGTCATCCTGCCATGCATGCACGTGTCATCCTGCCATGCATGCACGTGTCATCCTGCCATGCATGCACGTGTCATCCTGCCATGCATGCACGTGTCATCCTGCCATGCATGCACGTGTCATCCTGCCATGCATGCACGTGTCATCCTGCCATGCATGCACGTGTCATCCTGCCATGCATGCACGTGTCATCCTGCCATGCATGCACGTGTCATCCTGCCATGCATGCACGTGTCATCCTGCCATGCATGCACGTGTCATCCTGCCATGCATGCACGTGTCATCCTGCCATGCATGCACGTGTCATCCTGCCATGCATGCACGTGTCATCCTGCCATGCATGCACGTGTCATCCTGCCATGCATGCACGTGTCATCCTGCCATGCATGCACGTGTCATCCTGCCATGCATGCACGTGTCATCCTGCCATGCATGCACGTGTCATCCTGCCATGCATGCACGTGTCATCCTGCCATGCATGCACGTGTCATCCTGCCATGCATGCACGTGTCATCCTGCCATGCATGCACGTGTCATCCTGCCATGCATGCACGTGTCATCCTGCCATGCATGCACGTGTCATCCTGCCATGCATGCACGTGTCATCCTGCCATGCATGCACGTGTCATCCTGCCATGCATGCACGTGTCATCCTGCCATGCATGCACGTGTCATCCTGCCATGCATGCACGTGTCATCCTGCCATGCATGCACGTGTCATCCTGCCATGCATGCACGTGTCATCCTGCCATGCATGCACGTGTCATCCTGCCATGCATGCACGTGTCATCCTGCCATGCATGCACGTGTCATCCTGCCATGCATGCACGTGTCATCCTGCCATGCATGCACGTGTCATCCTGCCATGCATGCACGTGTCATCCTGCCATGCATGCACGTGTCATCCTGCCATGCATGCACGTGTCATCCTGCCATGCATGCACGTGTCATCCTGCCATGCATGCACGTGTCATCCTGCCATGCATGCACGTGTCATCCTGCCATGCATGCACGTGTCATCCTGCCATGCATGCACGTGTCATCCTGCCATGCATGCACGTGTCATCCTGCCATGCATGCACGTGTCATCCTGCCATGCATGCACGTGTCATCCTGCCATGCATGCACGTGTCATCCTGCCATGCATGCACGTGTCATCCTGCCATGCATGCACGTGTCATCCTGCCATGCATGCACGTGTCATCCTGCCATGCATGCACGTGTCATCCTGCCATGCATGCACGTGTCATCCTGCCATGCATGCACGTGTCATCCTGCCATGCATGCACGTGTCATCCTGCCATGCATGCACGTGTCATCCTGCCATGCATGCACGTGTCATCCTGCCATGCATGCACGTGTCATCCTGCCATGCATGCACGTGTCATCCTGCCATGCATGCACGTGTCATCCTGCCATGCATGCACGTGTCATCCTGCCATGCATGCACGTGTCATCCTGCCATGCATGCACGTGTCATCCTGCCATGCATGCACGTGTCATCCTGCCATGCATGCACGTGTCATCCTGCCATGCATGCACGTGTCATCCTGCCATGCATGCACGTGTCATCCTGCCATGCATGCACGTGTCATCCTGCCATGCATGCACGTGTCATCCTGCCATGCATGCACGTGTCATCCTGCCATGCATGCACGTGTCATCCTGCCATGCATGCACGTGTCATCCTGCCATGCATGCACGTGTCATCCTGCCATGCATGCACGTGTCATCCTGCCATGCATGCACGTGTCATCCTGCCATGCATGCACGTGTCATCCTGCCATGCATGCACGTGTCATCCTGCCATGCATGCACGTGTCATCCTGCCATGCATGCACGTGTCATCCTGCCATGCATGCACGTGTCATCCTGCCATGCATGCACGTGTCATCCTGCCATGCATGCACGTGTCATCCTGCCATGCATGCACGTGTCATCCTGCCATGCATGCACGTGTCATCCTGCCATGCATGCACGTGTCATCCTGCCATGCATGCACGTGTCATCCTGCCATGCATGCACGTGTCATCCTGCCATGCATGCACGTGTCATCCTGCCATGCATGCACGTGTCATCCTGCCATGCATGCACGTGTCATCCTGCCATGCATGCACGTGTCATCCTGCCATGCATGCACGTGTCATCCTGCCATGCATGCACGTGTCATCCTGCCATGCATGCACGTGTCATCCTGCCATGCATGCACGTGTCATCCTGCCATGCATGCACGTGTCATCCTGCCATGCATGCACGTGTCATCCTGCCATGCATGCACGTGTCATCCTGCCATGCATGCACGTGTCATCCTGCCATGCATGCACGTGTCATCCTGCCATGCATGCACGTGTCATCCTGCCATGCATGCACGTGTCATCCTGCCATGCATGCACGTGTCATCCTGCCATGCATGCACGTGTCATCCTGCCATGCATGCACGTGTCATCCTGCCATGCATGCACGTGTCATCCTGCCATGCATGCACGTGTCATCCTGCCATGCATGCACGTGTCATCCTGCCATGCATGCACGTGTCATCCTGCCATGCATGCACGTGTCATCCTGCCATGCATGCACGTGTCATCCTGCCATGCATGCACGTGTCATCCTGCCATGCATGCCTGCCCCGGTGCTACGGTGCATGCCATATGGAGCATCAGATCCGAGCGGCCAACCTGAGCGGGGCGTGTCACATGCACCGCGAGTTCAACACGAGGGGTTCCGACTTTGTCTTCCGCAACGGCCACCCGGTGAGCCACACCTGCCTCCCTGTGAGCCACACCTGCCACCCGGTGAGCCACACCTGCCACCCGGTGAGCCACACCTGCCACCCGGTGAGCCACACCTGCCACCCGGTGAGCCACACCTGCCACCCGGTGAGCCACACCTGCCTCCCGGTGAGCCACACCTGCCATGCGGTGAGCCACACCTGCCACCCGGTGAGCCACACCTGCCACCCGGTGAGCCACACCTGCCATGCGGTGAGCCACACCTGCCACCCGGTGAGCCACACCTGCCACCCGGTGAGCCACACCTGCCACCCGGTGAGCCACACCTGCCACCCGGTGAGCCACACCTGCCACCCGGTGAGCCACACCTGCCACCCGGTGAGCCACACCTGCCACCCGGTGAGCCACACCTGCCACCCGGTGAGCCACACCTGCCACCCGGTGAGCCACACCTGCCACCCGGTGAGCCACACCTGCCACCCGGTGAGCCACACCTGCCACCCGGTGAGCCACACCTGCCACCCGGTGAGCCACACCTGCCACCCGGTGAGCCACACCTGCCTCCCGGTGAGCCACACCTGCCACCCGGTGAGCCACACCTGCCACCCGGTGAGCCACACCTGCCACCCGGTGAGCCACACCTGCCACCCGGTGAGCCACACCTGCCTCCCTGTGAGCCACACCTGCCTCCCGGTGAGCCACACCTGCCACGCGGGGGTGCTTCTGGTCGAAAGGCCAGGGTGGTAGGCTGTAGTGAGGCAAGGGGCGGTGAGGCGAGGAAGGGTTGCTGCCGCCTGATTGCTCTCTCTCACCTCATGCCTGCTCCCTCAATCTCCTTGCAATGAACTTCCCATGTGTGCCGTCAAGCGTTAACTGTCTCGTCTTTTCTATCCCTCTGTTCGCTCTCCCCCTCTCTTGCGGCTGCAAGTAGCAGTGTGTGCGGCGCAAGGCACAGCTGTCCGTCGCCATGAACCCCTTCTGCTCCGACACCCCCCCCACCTCTGCCACTGCCACCACCGCCACCGCCACCGCCACCACCACCACCACCACCACCACCAACGGCAGCAGCGCCAATGGAAGCAGCAGTGGCAGCGAGGCGTCTAGCAGCAGCAGTGCGGCGTGCATGGCTCGGGCGCGGGCGGCAGTGGATGCTGTGTGGGACGTGTGCTACCATGACACCACTCCCTTTGACCGCATCCCCTGATGCTCTCATAGGCTTCAATCATTGAGAAGCGTTTGTTGAACGCTGCATTTGATTCATTGTACTGTATGCTTTACTGATCGACTTACCAAGTTGTTTGCTCATGTTTATTTTAAACTAGGCTAGCCAGTTATGTACCTTTTAGATGTAGTTAGTGTATTATGGTGAAGACCAGGGCCTCAGATATCAGGAAAAAAACCCTGAAATTCCTGATTTTGGCAGTCCTTTTTTTACCTACCCTGAAAAGTCAGTGTTGAGATTTTTGAGGGACTGAAATTTCAGACTTTTTTTGTTAGGCCACACTGAAATTTCAGACTTTTTTCCCCTAGGACACTGATGCCACAGCGCTGTAACGAAACCAACACTGAAGCGATTCTTACCTGTGCCATGCGGATTTGACCGCAATTACAGGGAATCTCAGATTCCCGAGGTGTAAGCACCCCGTGGCGAGGCCAACCTGTGAAATTCTGCCTCTGGTTCACGTTCAGAGGTATTTTGTTGGCGCGGCGCCTCACACCATTGGGCCGTTTCGGTGCAGCAGTCAGTCTTGGCCAATCCGAACGTGGCCACCATGTGGTGCTGGAGGGCTGCCAAGGGTCCTGCCCCGTTGCCATCACATGCGACGCGTTAGTGACAGCCTTTTTACTAGTGCTACACTGATGCATCAGGCTTTTTACAGACGCAACGCAACACTGACATTTCAGGCTTTTTTTTTTTGGAACACTGTCAATCAGAGTTTACACACAGGGGGACCCTGATGGGTTGACGACCCTAAAAGTGAATCTGAGGGCCTGGTGAAGACTCTAGACTAGAGATGTTAGAGCGGCTTGTTGCGACCGAACCTGCTCCGACAAACATGTCCCTGCTCCAATAGACCACATCTGATGCTGCTGCTATGCATGGTGCCCTGCCCTGCCTGCTGCAAGCTGCTGCTGGCTCCCATGCACCCGTCCATACGGTACTATGGCTTACTTCCTTGCATCTGTTACTGTTCTAATCAACAATGTACAGCCAAATAGCAGACCCAAGAGGGCCTTTATTGGAAATAATACATACGGTAGTGGTTGCTAGGCGGGCATGCAGAGGGTAGTATCAGGAGGGTGCAGCGAGGGGGGGTTGAGGGGGAGCGAGGCGCAGCGAGCGCAGCCAGTCGGTGAAGCCGGGCTCGGGGGTGGGCGGCAGCTTGGCCCGCACGGCTGCCCGCTCCTCCTCCTGCATCTCCCTCAGCGGTGGGAAGAGCAGCTCCTGGCGGGCAGGGAGGGGAGGAACGCAGGTAGCAGTGGGGGTGGAGTGGTGGGGATCATGAGACGCAGTGAGTAGGTGCGCAGGATGCATCTCGACTGCCGAGGGATAATCACCGTAACAATCACCCATGGGAAATGCATGCCCACCTGAACAGCGAGGGGGTCCTTGTGTGTGGGGGTGAGGCGCGCCGTCATGAAGGCCGCTTCCGGCGTGCCCTCCTGCCATGCCGTCATGGGGAGGGCGGGCACAGGGCGGGGCGAGCGGGGAGTGTAGGGCGAGGATGCGGGGTTGAAGATCAAGCACCGAGGGAGTGCAGGGGGGAGCACACGGAAGAGCACACGGGGGAGCACACACACACAGATAGATCACCTCCCAGCATCCCCTCCTAACCCTCTCCCCCCCTTTGGCACTGACAGTGAAGCACAGTACGCGAGGCGCCGGGAACCTGCCTCTGCCGCCCGGCCCACCCATGAGCTGCGCTGCCAGCTGGCGACACGCCGCCTCCACTCCGCGCCTCGTGGGCTCGTCCGGCGCCAGGTGCGCGCCCTGGGGGGAGAGGGGGAAAGGGGGGTTAGGGGCATGGTGCAGATGGCGCAATGGTGTTGGGTTGAGGAAGAAGGGCGGTGGCAGTCAGAGGTTGTGCGCGTGGGTGGAGGGGAGGAGACAAGGGGGAAGTGGCACTCATGGCGAGCGGTGGCACTCGTGGCGAGCGGAGGCACTCACGAGCCAGATGAGCATGTCGGTGCCGTGGTCCAGCACCAGGGCGGCATCTGACGTCAGCGCCAGGTCGGAGGGCGGCACTTCAACGAACTGGGTGGCGTGGCCGGCGCGGAACATGAGCAGCGAGGGCAGCACCATGCGCAGCGCCGCCTCCCCCCCTGCGCGCAGCAGCAGTGCGCGCAGGGCCTGGCGCTCCCACTCGCCCGCCACGTGGCGCCCCAACACCGGGCTGCGCCTCACCTCGTACAGCGCCTCCGCTACCCTGCAGGGGGGGGGTTGGATTGGAGGGGGCAGGGGGGAGGAGAGATGGGTGGGGGAATGGCCAAGGTGGGCGCAGCTGCTGACATGCACTGCTCGCCGACTGGTCCAGCAACCAAATACCATCCCCTTGCTTCCTCGCTTCTCTCCTTACCTCCCCACCTGCCCCCCTGCACTTGTGCCAATCGCACACCCTCCCTTCCCCCACCTGCCCCTCCCCCCTCCCCCCCCGTCAACTGACCGGGGCAGCTGGTGGGGGAACTGCAGCAGGGAGCGGTTGTGCTGCGCCACGCCGCCCAGCTTGAGCGCCAAGTCACGTGCACGGGCGTCCACCCACGCGCGCATCTCCCCCGCCTCGCGAGCCGTGGGCGCGGCCAGCACGGTGCGCTTGGCGATGAGCAGCGCTGCCGTGGCCTCGTGCACCGATGAGAGGTATGCTGGTAGCGATGCCGCCACTGGTAGACGCACTGTCACCACCCGCGTCACCACTGTGGGGGTGGGGGGGGTGAGGGGATGGTGCGAGGTGATGGGCGTGCGTGCGTGCGTGCGTATGTACATAAGCGCTCATGCATGCAGGCGTTGAGTGGCGGGCCCGTGGCAGATAGAGAGGAAGGTGCAGAGCAGTGCAGTGCGGCTCAGATGAGCACGTGGCCGTGACAACGAGCAGCAGGGTGGTGGCAAGGAGTGGTGGGCGCACCCTCAGGCTGGCACAGGCAGCACTCACGGTCGTGGTTGAGGAGGCGGAAGCGGCAGAGGAATTGGAAGAACACGTGGTGGCGGGTGAGGTCCTCTACCAGTTCCATGCTCACTGCCACTGCCGCCTCCTCGTCCACACTCAGCAGCGCCACCGCCGTCGCACTGTCCTCCGGGAACCCCTCCTCCCCGCCCGCCCCCCTGCGCCCACCGCCCTCCTCCGCCTCTGCGGGGCCGATCACGCGTGTGACGGCCACCTCGGGCGAGCAGCACACCTCCAGCGACCCCTCCGCGCCCACGATGCGCGAGAGGGCGCGCAGCAGCAGGGGGGGGAACGCGGCGGGGCTGAACTCGTCCAGCGGCACCAGCGCGCCCCCTGACAGCGCCGCCAGGGGCAGCAGTGCGGGCATGCGCACGAGCAGCGGCCCCCCCGAGAACACGTCCACCACGGCGCCCATGCGCCGCGCCTCCCTGCCCAGCGCCTCGTAGTGCCGCCGCGCCGCCTGCTCGCGCTGCCGCTCCTCGCCCTCCCCCACGCCCTCTATGCCTTCCGCCACCGCCCCCGCGCCCACTGTGGCTGGCCCCCCGCACAGCACCACCACGCGCGCCGCCCCGCTCCACCGCCGCTGCTCAGCACGCGGCAGGGCGGGCGCGGGGCCGCGCAGCAGCGCGAGCGCGAGCTCCACGGCGGGGCCCAGGGCACGCGCGCGGGCGAGGGGGGGCGTGGCGGCGCGGCAGGGGCGCAGCGAGGCGATGACGGCCTGCGCGGAGGGCAGGCAGGCCGCGATGGGCGCGAGGTGCTGCGCGCGCCCCAGCAGCAGCGCGGCCAGCGTGGCGGGGGGCAGCGCGTGCGTGGCGGGGAAGCAGTCGGCGGAGGCGAGCAGCGGCGAGGCGGAGGGCGAGAGGTCGAAGAGCGAGAGGGCCGCGCCGAAGGTGATGATGGCGATGCGCGTGGCGGATGGCAGGTGCTGCAGCATGGCCTGCCATGGGGCGCAACGGGGTGAGTGCGGGGGAGGCATGGGGAAGGAAGAAGTGAGGGGGGGACGAGGGGGGGACGAGGGGGGGACGAGGGGGGGACGAGGGGGGGACGAGGATGCAATGAGGATGGGTTGTTGTCTGCTCTCACCGTGAGCTGTCATTGATTCATCGTGACCCGTCCTGTGCTGTGTGCCATGCACTCACCGTGAGCGCGGCCCTGACCCGCCATGCACTCACCGTGAGCGCGGCTCTGACGCCCGCCATGCACTCACCGTGAGCGCGGCTCTGACGCCCGCCATGCACGCGGCGTCCAGCCCCTCGTCCACCACCACCACCACCGGCGCCCCCAGCACCGCCTCCGACGCGCTCCCCCCCACTCCCCCCCCCCCCCCGCCCCGCGCGCCCCCCCGCCCGCCTCAACGTAGTCCACCACGCGCGCGCCCAGCTCGGGCCACCCCTCGAGCGTCTCTCCCTCCGCCAGCAGGTAGTGCCCGCCGCTCATGTTGGGGCGCCCGCACAGCGCGCAGCGCCAGTCGCCCGTGGCGGGCGCGATGGCGGAGTAGAGGCACACGCACGCCCCGCAGAAGGCGCAGCGCAGAGGCGCATGGCGCACCACGGGGGGCGGTTGGGAGGAAGCGGGGGCGGCGGAGGTGGGGGAGGAAAGGGTGGAAGCGGAGGGTGAGAGGAGCGGGGAAGCGGCGGAGGCGGGGAGCGGAGGGGTGGGCGCGAAGAGCGCGCCGAAGCCGAGGCTCTGCACGTTGGCGATCTTGCGCTCCCGCGGCACCTGCGGGGCACATACGCGCGGGAGGAACACATGGGAAGCGCGGGGGGAACACATGGAAGGCGCGGGGGGGAACCTGAGAGGCGGCGAGGGCATGTGAAGGAGGGTGAGGGAAAGACGGCGAAGGTGAGACGAGAGGGGGACGCTGGGACAAGCGCGCGTGGAGGGGGGCTGTGCGGAGCAGCGAGCGCCCTGCGGCATGCCCAGCACCCGCCCTATCATGCACTGCGTCGTTCCCCGCCCACCAGGGGCGCGCGGCGTACCGAGGAGGCGGTGAATCGCAGGTAGGGGTCGGACGCGAGATGGCCCCATTGCTCGTCGTGTGACAGATCGCAGCCGTACATCAGCGCCGCCATGTTTGCGCCGGCCCAAGGCCAAGGGCAAGACAAACTGGTTAATGAAAAAATAGTATATATTTAGAATTTAGTTAATATTGTATCCAGGGGGGTGTAGCTCACATGGTAGAGCGATCGCTTTGCATGCGATAGGTACGGGGATCGATACCCCGCGTCTCCAAGCCTCGTTTTGTTTGTCCCGAAAGAATCGTTTTTTTTTTTGGGGAGGGGGTATGTGTGTGTGACGGCATGATAGGTTGACTGTTCAATTCAAGCATTGCAAAATCATCTCCGCGGGCTGTTGGTCCCGTGCCTCCACTCCCCGCCATGGCAGGCGTGCAAGCCCTCCTCGCTCGCCGTCCCGCCTTTCTGCTCGGCGCGCCACCGCCTGACTCCGCCGCCCGCGGGCTTCTCTCCGGCGCAGGCCGCGCCATCCCGCGCCCGCACGCTCCGCTCATTGGTAGACGGGGGTTTAGGCGGGCTTACGTCGGCATTAGCAGCAAAGGGGTAAATCGAGTATTTTGTGCGCATAGCGACGATGGTGGGGCGAGGAGTAGAGCAGCGGACGGATCGATAGAGTCAGACATTGAGAGGGGCTGGGAGCGGCAAAGCGCGAGTGGCGTTTCACCATCACGCTCACAGGCGCAGGAGCAGTGCGAGTCTCCCGCTCCCCATGGCCCGCCATCTCCGCGTGCTGCTTTCCCCAACGTCCGTGTCCCGCGGGCCCTTGCTTCCCCCCTCGCCTCCGCGGCTCTCGCTCTCCTCCTCGCCCTCGCGCCCTTCGCGACTCGGCCGCCCGCCCTCGCGCAAGCACCCCCCGCGGGGACTGCGGCGACTGTGGCGGAGACGAGTAGCGGGAGGCGCGAGGCGCGAAGCAAGGCTGCGGGGCGGCGGAAGGAAAAGCGCGCGGAGGGTGGAACATCCTCAGCGCGGGGGAGCAAGAGTGCTGTGGGGGGGTGGGAAGCAGCAGGAGAGGGGCAAGCGGGGGACGTGGGGACGTTGGGGGAGGCAGACGCGGGGAGCCGGCGGGCGGAGGAGAGGCTCGAGGCATTCCAGAGGACAGCGGCGGCTGCCGTGACGGCGGAGGAGGTGGGCGCGCTTGAGCGCGCGTACCAGGCGGAGTGGGCTCGGAGCATGCGGGATAGCGAGGCGCGGCAGGCGCGGCTGCTGGACGAGCTGGTGGGCGCGCGGATGGCACTGGCGGAGCGGGAGGAGGCGCTGGAGCGCGCGCGGGAGAGAGTCGCGGGAGGGGAAGCGGCGGAGAGCAAGGGGCGGGAGGAGGAAGGCGGGGAAGAGGCAGGGAAGGGAGAGGACGGGGCGGCAGGTAAGGGGAGTCGGGCAGGGGGCAAGGTGAAGGGGAGGAAGGGGAAGGGCGCGGCAGGGGCAGGGGGGGACGAGGCGGCGGGCAGTGTGCGCGCGTGCAGGCGGGCCGTGGAGGCGGCACAGCGACGCGCTGACGAGGCGGCGGCGGCAGTGGTGGCAGTGGGGCAGCAGGCGGAGGGGCGGCTGGCGCGCATGTGGGAGGCACTGGGGGAGGCGAAGAGGAGGGTGCATGGGGAGGTGGCAGTGGGGGTGAGCGCGGACGGGGAGGGTGGCGAGGGGGAAGCGGGGAGGGGAGTGGCGGCGATGGGGGGTGCGATGGCGGTGGCGGGCAGGGACGTGCGCGAGTGCCTTGACCACCCCGGCCGGGTGCCTGCTGTGCTGCTCCGGTCGCTCAGACGCGCCGTGGGGGGCGGAGACCCCGCCGTCCCCACTGCTGCTGCTGCTGCTGCTGCTGCTGGTGAGGCAGGACAGGGGGTGGAGGAGGCAGGAACAGAAGGGGCAGGGGGCGTGAAGGCACTGAGTGCAGCGGAGGAGGCAGCAGCGGATGCTCAGGTGCTGGCGTGGCACAAGTGGGCGGCGGAACAACGGGCGGCGGCAAAGAAGCGGATTGTGAGCAGCCGAGGCAAGGCCAAGGCGTTTGCGGCTGAGAAGCAGGTCCGTGCCGCCCGCTGCTCCCTGCTCCCTACTCCCTGCTCCCTGCACAATGCTTCTTGCTGCTTTGTTGCTCGCTGAATGCTGCACGGGCAGATAGCTGCATGCACGCCCTCTCGCAAATCTTCCTTTTTTCATTTTCTCCCTGCCATGCGCCCAATACCGTGCTTCCCCATGCGTCACGCGGCATGCAGGCGGAGGTGCTGGCAGCGCGCGACCGGGTGATGGGGGAGGCAACGCTCAACACGGGCGTCACCTCGCCGCTGCTGGGTGGGGGCCCCGAGGGGCGGTGGGAGCTGACAGCAGCGGGGCTGTGGGAGGCGCTGTCGCACTCGCTGCTGTCGTCCGTGTCGCTGCGCCACGACCGCCGTGCCGCCCTGCTGCGCCTCAAGGCCGACCCGCGCCTCTTCTTTGTCGACCTATCCGCGTGGGACAGCTGGCGCCACGCCACTGGCGGCACCGACGAGCTGCTGCTGCGCCTGCGGGCGGCGGGCGTGCCGACGCGGGTGGAGGTGATGTGGGTGCCGGTGAGGGAGTGGGACCCGGCCTCGCTCTACGCGCTGCCGGCGCGTGTGGTGGGGCACGCGGCGCACTCGCTGTCGTCAGCGGGGCCGGTGCAGGTGGCGCTGCAGTGGTACGTGGGCACGGCGGGCGAGGCGGCGGAGGAGACCTTCTTCCGCTTCGTGTGGCCCGCCATGCCGCGCGCGCTCAAGGCGCTGCTGAAGCTGGACTACTCGGAGGGCGCGGCGGCGGGCGACGTGGTGGCACTGGAGCGCATGGGGTGGCTGGCGGCCGCTGAGAGGCGCTTCGCGAAGCGCAGCAGCATGGCGGGCAGGTGGGCGTGGTGGCTGGTGCTGCCCGCCAAGGCCGCTGTGGCGCTCTTCCCCCTGCGCTGGGCCGCCCTCCCCGCTGCTGCCCTAGCGCAGCGCCTGCTGGTGGGCGCGCCGGGGCCGGAGAGTGAGACGGCGTACAAGACGCGGCTGGGGAAGGAGCTGCTGCGGCGCGTGGGCAAGCAGGAGGAGGACGAGGAGAAGGCGAAGAAGGAGAAGAAGGTCAAGGACTCCATCCGAGAGGCCTTCGACCGCATCAAGGTACCCCCTGCCCTGCCGCGCTCCTCCACCGCCCCCCCTCACCTTGCTCCTTGCAATGCCCACCCTCTTTTGCTTCTATCCCCACACCCCCTCTTCAAACCACCATTTCCTCTTCATGTGCTCGTCTCTCACCTTCATCCCATTCCATCTGTTCCTTTCCGCTCCCTCCCTCCCACGGTGCGTGTGGGCAGCGAGTGCGGAGGCCGGCGGTGCGGCTGAGCGATTTCGCGGGGATGGACGCGGTGAAGGAGGAGGTGCAGGAGGTCATCACCTTCCTGCGCGACCCCTCCTCCTTCCAACGCCTCGGCGCCCGCCCGCCCCGGGTGAGCCACGCCCTGTCTTGCTGCCTTGTGCCGTACACACCCCGCTTGCCTCTCTTCCTCTCACCTTTGTCTTCCCTCCTGCTGCTGCCACCCCACCATACGTGCACGTCAGGGCGTGCTGATAACGGGGGGGTCGGGAGTGGGCAAGAGCAGTTTGGCGCTGGCGATAGCGGCGGAGGCGAGGGTGCCGGTGGTGGACATCAAGTCCAGCGATGTGGACCCGGGGGGGTTCGTGGGGCAGGGCGCTGCCAACGTGCGCGAGCTCTTCAAGATGGCCCGCGAGATGGTGAGCTGGTCCGATGGTGAGGTGGTGAGGTGGTGAGGTGGTGAGGTAGTGAGGTGGTCAGGTGGTGAGGTGGTGAGGTGGTGAGGTGGTGAGGTGGTGAGGTGGTGAGGTGGTGAGGTGGTCAGGTGGTGAGGTGGTCAAGATGGTATGGGAGATGGTGAGATGGTGAAGTTTTGAGATGGTTAGATGCTGAGATGGTGAGATGGTTAATTTCTGAGATGGTTAGATGCTGAGATGGTGTGATGGTTAATTTCTGAGATGGTTAGATGCTGAGATGGTGAGATGGTTAATTTCTGAGATGGTGAGGTGGTTAGATGCTGAGATGGTGAGGTGGTCAAGATTACACGCACTGCCAGGCGCCCATGCTCATTCTCATCACACCCACTGCCACTGCCACTGGCAGGCGCCCATGCTGATCCTGATGGAAGACTTTGAGGAGATAGGCGGGGTGCGCGGGGCGGCCATGGACACGCGCCTGCAGGACAAGGAGGCCATCATCAACCAGCTGCTCGTTGAGCTCGACGGGTCCGCCTCCCTGTCCCCCTCCTTGCCACACCCGCCCCCTCCCGCGCTCGCCGCTTTCCTCGCCTTTGCCTCTCTGCACCCATGCTACCCTCATGTGAACTACACTCGCGTTCACTTGCTGTCCAATGCACCCTACTATCCTCCCCTCTTTTCGATGTTGTCATTCGAGCCTCACCTTGGACCGCTCTCACGCCTCATGCTCGCCTTGCTCCCCGTGCTTTGCTTGGCTTGCAGATTTGAGACACAGGAGGGCGTGGTGCTGCTGGCAATCACTGATAATCCAGCTGCTGTGAGTGAATCAGTGGAAGGTAGCAGCTGGGAGTGAATCAGAGCAAGGTAGCAGCTGAGAGTGTAGCAGAGCGGGGGAGAAGCTGTGAGTGCCAGTGGAGGAGGGTGGAGGACGGGAGGGCTGGTGCTGGTGCAGCGGCCACACGAGGGCTGTGAGTGTGGCCCGTGGCAACATGGGGCGCACATGGCACATGCATGTTCGCTGCGCTGGCCTTCTCCCAACAGCCATGACTGCCCTTGTCGGCTCACCCATCCCGCCCTCCCCCGTGCCCCCTTCTCCCCCACTCTCCTCTCCCCCCAGGTGGACCCAGCGCTGCGCAGGCCGGGGCGCATGGACCGAGTGATCGAGGTGCCGCTGCCCACGGCGGGCGAGAGGGAGAAGATTCTGCGCCGCGCCGCCGCCGCCTCCATGGACCCGCGATTCGTTGATGCCGTTGACTGGCGCTTCGTGAGGCCCTCTCCCTGCCCTGCCATGCCGTGCCATCCATGCCATCTTATGCCATGCCATGCCATGTCATTCCATGCCTCTACTTGCTTATAGCTCAGAGCTTATGCCATAATATCACATAGCATGGTACCATATCAAAGCATGGGATGCCATACTATATGACTGTGACATACCACACCATTCCATATAATGCCATGTCATTCCACCCAAGGCCATGTCATCCCACTGATGCGACCGCATGCACGGCACGCATGGCATGTGTGAGCGCAGGTGGCGGAGCAGACGGGGGGCCTGAAGCCCACGGACCTGAGGGGCATGCCGCGGCGCATCCTGCTGGCCGCCGGCACCGACAAGTTCCGAGATGAGGACGAGCTGGCGGGCACTCTCAGCATGCTGGAGGTGAGGCACTCTCAGCATGCTGGAGGTGAGGCACTCTCAGCATGCTGGAGGTGAGGCACTCTCAGCATGCTGGAGGTGAGGCACTCTCAGCATGCTGGAGGTGAGGCACTCTCAGCATGCTGGAGGTGAGACCACGGCTCAGCAGGTATCGTGGGGGTCAAGGTGATGTGTAGAGGGATACGGAGAATGTGGGATGGGCTCTTGTGTGTGCTCACGCCATGACTCCCCCCTGTGCCGTGCACCTGCTGTGCCCCCCTGCCCTGGCAGCTGTACCACTGGGTGGTGCCGGCGCTGCTGCGGCGCGTGCCGGTGCTGCAGCGGTGGGAGAGCGGAGTGGTGGAGCGGCTGGGGCTGGAGCTGACACCGGGGGATGTGCAGCGGGTGCTGCCGGACATTGACTTCTCCTCGCTCACCGACCTTGGCATGGACCTCACCCTCCCCGACACCGCCAAGGTGGCCCTCCATCCTGCCCTCCCCTCCCTCCTCACTTGCCCTGCATTGCCAGCAATGCCCCTCGCTCCTTTCGCATCTTTCCACTCACCGTGCCGCTGCACCTGCTCCCCCACTTGTCATTGCGCCTGCAACCAAGCTTGGCACCTCCCCATCTTGCCTCAAGTCGCACCTCCCCTTCATTTCTCCACTTGTCACCCCACCCTTCCCCCCTCCCTCCTACTTGCTCTTCCATGTCTTTCCAACACCCGCCCTCTGCCCTCACAGTGGGATCGTGCTGAGAAGCTTCCGCATGCGGTGTGGGCAGCAGGGAGGGGCGTGCTGGCGGCGCTGCTGCCGAGCTTTGACCGCGTCGACAACATCTGGCTCAACCCCAACAGCTGGGAGGTGCGCACTGCCATGGGCGAGCAGCTGGGAGGTGTGCATGGGGCAAGCAGGTGGGAAGTGTGCATGGCTAATGAGAAGAGAGCGACGACACTGCATGCACTCACCATCATGCATTGTCATGCCATTTGAAGCCATCAGTCTCGCCTCCCCCTCCCCATTGTGCAACCGTGACGGCGTGGGCGGTGTGCATGTGGGGGTGGCAGGGCGTGGGGTTCACGCGCTTCACGCGTGCCGCCGAGGGCTCGCTGGGCGGGGCGGACGGCAGTGCGGAGGCGGGCGGTGGCGGCGTGGTGAGCCGCGCGTACACGGAGCAGAGCCTGGTGGCGCTGTTCGGGTCGCACATCGCCGCCGCGCTGCTGCTGCCCTGGGGGCACTCCAACAACCTCGCCACCCCGCAGCTGCAGCAGGCCTACCAGGTACAGGGGACTGGGGGGAATTGGGGGCCGGGAAGGCAACGGGGGAAGGAGGGGGAGTTGGGGGAAGTGGCAACAGCTGGAAGGGCGCTTCTTGATTCGAGAGGGAAAGGGTAGCAGTATTGGTGTGGTCAGAGTGGGGTTTGCTTTGGTAAAGCGAAATGTGTTTCACCAATCAAGAGTCCCCTCTCTCTCCAGCATGTGGCACAGGTAGCACGTGGCACAGGTAGCACGTAGAATACCCATGTGCTGCCCTGTCTTCTCCCCCCCGTGTGCGTGCCCTCCCTGCCACCGTTCTAAACGTGCGTGGCATCAGCTGGCGGAGCGCATGGTCATGGAGTGGGGCTGGGGACCCGACGACTCTCCCTTCATCTTCCAAACGCACACCGCGGTCAGTACTACCACCCACCATGCTGTGAGTGCCACCCACCATGCTGTGAGTGCCCCCCACCATGCTGTGAGTGCCACCCACCATGCTGTGAGTGCCACCCACCATGCTGTGAGTGCCACCCACCATGCTGTGAGTGCCCCCCACCATGCTGTGAGTGCCACCCACCATGCTGTGAGTGCCACCCACCATGCTGTGAGTGCCACCCACCATGCTGTGAGTGCCACCCACCATGCTGTGAGTGCCACCCACCATGCTGTGAGTGCCACCCACCATGCTGTGAGTGCCACCCACCATGCTGTGAGTGCCACCCACCGTTCTGTTTCCGCTGCTCTGCTGAGAAAATTCTCCATGCGCTCTCCACTGCGTTCCCCCTTCCCCGACTCTCCTTCATTCCTTCTCTGCGGTGTGGTGCTGCCCTGCCACCCCGCTGCTAGCAGCGCAAGAGTCTGGCGTTGGGGCGAAGGCAGGAGGCGGAGCTGAAGCAAAGGGTGCAGCAGGTGAGGGTGGTGGGGAACTCACGATTGCATTGAAGTGAGGGTGGTGGGGGACTCACGTGGACTGCATTTAAGTGGTTGGAGGCACATGTTGTAGGTGCTTGGTTGGAGGCACATGTTGTAGGTGCTTGGTGGAGAGCCACAAACGGACCAACATTGATCCACACCGTGTTTAGTTTGGTGAATGAACATTCACACCTTCATATGTAGGTGAAACTGAACAATCACCACATCCTTCCTCCCACCTATCTGTTCTCCGTCCTTCCCTGTGCGGGCATCAGCTGCACGATGCGGCATTTGAGCGCGCGCATGCGCTGCTGGCGCGCAACCGGCGCACGCTGCAGGCGGTGGTGGACGCCCTCTGCACGCACGACGCCGTCGACCGCCAGGTCAGCGCCCGCGCCCTCCATGCCCGCATGGTCGCCTGGGTGCATTGTGCATGCTTGGTGCTTGGGTGCATGGCGCATTGGTGCATGAGTGCATGGGCGCATGGGTGCATGGGCACATGGCTGCATGGGTGCATGAGCGCATGGGTGCAAGGGTGTTTGAGCGCATGGGTGCATAG